TAATGAGGTTAAAACAACGTGCATGGATGAAACTTTTCATCGAAATCAACATACCCGGACAATCAACGGACAATGCGACACGTGACTACTATTTGCTTCTTAATAATGTCTGTTACGAAAAACAGTTCGAAAATTGTAGAAAATGTAAGAGTGTCGAGCTCATCACAGACGCGGACAGGTTATTGAAATTCACATCAAAATGTAATTTCAAACGTGTTACGACGTGTTAGTCAAGTAATACGGTGATTGCGTTAGGTTGTTGATGACGGACACCGACTCCGTTTTGATTCCAATCATGATCAGTGCCCCTCCTGAGAGACCTCTGCTCGATCCTTACCTGTTCACGCAACAAAACATTCATTTTTCGATACCTCGACTTACCCGAGGTCTCATCCCCTGTATAGCAAAGACAGACACAAGGTTGCTGGGTAAATGAAAGATGAGGCCGGTGGGAAGGTCATCCGAGAATTTGTCGGTCTGAAAGCCAAAAATTATAGCTATTCAGTGGATGGTGATAGTGGAGAGGTTTCGAAAGAGAAAAGGGCAAATTTAAAGCTGTTCAACGTAGTTGGGCGAAAAAACATCTCCATCACAAAATGTTTATGGAGTGTTTTTTCGATCGAAGGCACTTCTGGGCTACTTTCAGACAGATATGTTCCTTTCACAATACACTGTACACGGTGAAGGTCAACAAAATAGCCCTCTCCCCACTTGACAACAAGAGATGTTTATTACCTTGTGGGGTGCAGGGTTTACCCTGTGGTCACAAACAACCTAACGTCCCTAGGTAACCCGTCTTGTCCAAGTTCTACCGTTACTCACACTCCCACTCACTTTGAACGCTCACAGACTTGCAAACGGATTGAGTGAGTTGAGTTTAACGCCGCTTTTAACAGGATTCCAGTTACATCGCGGCGTGTCAGCTTAATGTGGGAGGAAAGCCCGAAGTGATGCAGGTCTCAGACGTTTACCACTTCGGTGAAACCCACGAGCACAGGTATGGTGCTGACAAACCTAGAAACATAATTGGGGCGAACAGGGATTCGAACCCACAATCATAGGTTTCTTGCGTGCCCAAGGGGCGCAACTCTGCACAGCGAATCGCGACGACTAGGCCACTCGTGCCCCCTGATGACTTGGAATAACCCTAATACAAGGGTAAAGCCGTTTATTCAGCCCCCTCCATTAAACCGCACCAAAACGAATGGAAAAACGCGATTTTTCCGCCGAGTTGGTGATCATTCAGGATGCATTTTACAGCTCCGTACAGGGTAAATGAGTATAAGTGGATACACTGTAAGGTGATGCGTGGAATTGCATATTATCAATTGTCCGATTGTCTTGTCCCGTGGTTGATGACGACATAGTCGAAAGCCTTTTGACAAGTATTCTTTGAATATGAGAAAAGCTCAATCAATGGGAGGTAACTCTTTCTCTAATCTTGTTCCATGTTGTGACGAACAACCAACCAAGTCATGAATGTAATAGACTTTATTGTTAAACACATCAGTGTTTTTTTCCAACTTGACAGACAGATAACAGTAAGTAAATTTCTAATGGTTTGAGCTTTTTGCCAACACCTGGAACGCCAAACTTCGAACTTCGAACATTGCTTTTGAGTGGGGTTGGACAATGTTCTCTTGAGACCATTCCCCACTTGTCACAGTATTTTACAAAAACTTGTCATAACCTTCTTTTAAATTGTGAGTTAAATTGTTGGAAGCCAGTGGGCACCTCCTCATCTTTGTGGGAAGACAAAATGAAATGTCTAATCAATTCAATGATATTGGAATCATGTATAGTTTGTCCATGTTTGTCACTCAGCTCGAGTTTGCATTCCATAACGAAAGTCCCAGGTCGCGTTGTTATTGTTTCAAGAGCTGACAGACCCACTAGTTGCCCAATGTGTCTGAGTATATCGTACAATTCATTAACGACACTCGCCATTCCGTGATTGCAGACGTGTTGATCCTTATTCGTTGCATTAGATGTCGATGATGATGATCATCATCATCCTTTGTCTCTTCAGTGGACGACTTATGTGTGATAGTGTTGACTGCAGATCCTCCTGACTGACTTTCACTGTCTGTTGTCATCAAAATAGATGTAGTACTACTGAGGGGTGGAGGACTGGTATCCCTCTTCTGGGTCAACCTTTGATAAGTTTCTCGTGTTAGTAATGTCATAAGCTTTCATCCGTTGCGTCGTCTGCCTCTAAACATGTATCGAGGGCGGCATTAGGAACTCCAGCTTGTGTTTTTGTTTGTTATCGACCGAATGATGTCTGTAGCGCTGCAGTTCTTTTTCTTCAGTGAAATGTTACGTATGAGTACACTGTACACCAACGTAATGATAGCCTTGAACTGAGGTTTGGTTAAGTGAGATAGCAGGGATTTTCTTTGCATGGGTACGAAATCACCCAACAAGTGAAGAAAATCTAAACATGGTACAATACAATCAGTCATGATTTTCAAGGGTTGTTTTCAGTTCTCTTGTAGATGTAAGGAATGGGTCCACCAAACTGACCAGGGATATCTATTGATTTTAAGCAAGGCTTCTTGTAAGGATTGTATGCACGCTTCCTTATAGTAAAACACTCTTTGACTTCCTTTTACCGTTATTACTTCGGCAGGACGCACTGACGTGTGTAAAGTGCGAGCTGGTGTGGTAAGACTATCTTCCAGAAGTAGACCTTGCGCATCTCGCAGTTGAATAGCAACTGAATAAGTTACTGACACTGCATGGGTTATGTATGATATTAGCTCTTTTCAGTCTCGAGGTAAACAGATGGTACAAAGCTCACCGGGTACTATACCTGTGCGTAAGCTACCATACTCTGGGTTATTGTAAGGCGATGCATCAACAACTAAATAACGACATGCGCCTCTCGAAGGTTTCCATATCGGCATATGAATACGAGAACTACTTCAAACAAGCAGGATAACTGTTATTCTACCTGCGTCTTACAGTTAAATGTAGGCGTTATAGCAGCGATTGCTTACTCTTGTTGTCAAAGTATAAAACCTCTCTGATATAAATATAGATTCTATAATTTTGAAAGAATAGATATATTTGGCAAGCAATAACACCCATTCATTCTTAGCTGTCGTGACTTTCATGGACAACGTTAACGTTAATGTGTTCATTACAATTCTTTTGTGAAGGAATGTCATATCCACTATTTCTTGAGATGTACAGCAGTATTTCTCAATACAAACACACAACAAAGTATGACCAGTTTAATATTCAAATCCGGGGAAGAATAGGTCTTCAGCAACCCACGCTTGCCGTAAAAAGCGACTTTGCTTGTCGTAAAAGGCGACTAACGGGATCGGGTGGTCAGACTCGCTGACTTCGTTGATGAATGTCATCGATCCCAATTGCGTGGATCGATGTTCATGATGTAAGCACTGGATTGTCTGGTTCGGACTCGATTATTTACAGACCGCCGTCATATAGCTGGACTATCGAGTTCTGGGTTATTCTCCTCGATTGAATTTCGCAATCATCATGTTACAATGCATATAAATCGGAATATCTGCTCCGATCGGAAATAGTTTAACTCCAGGTATATCGATTATTGGTAATATTTTCTTCCAAAATATTCAATCCAAGAACAAGTTAATTCTGATTCACTAATTATGTATGTTCGAACCATTGCATAGCAAACACATTGTCTCTTGCTTGGATGTCATGCAGGTAGCATAAGTGGCGTCAGTCACCATTCAAGGACCCGAGTATGAAGGCCTAACTTTGGTTGGTGATGATCTGCAGCCCTCTTATACTCTATTTGGTTTTTGTTTGGTTTGTTGTTAAATGTCGCACTCAGCAATATTCCAGCTGTATGACGGCGGTCTGTAAATAATCGAGTCTGGAACAGACAATCCAGTGATTTACATCCTGAGCATCAATCCACGCAATTGGGATTGATGACATGCATCATCCAAGTCAGCGAGCCTGACCACCCGATCGCATTAGTCGCCTCTAACGACAAGCAGAGTCGCCTTTTACGGCAAGCATGGGTTGTTGAAGACCTATTCTACCCGGATCTCTTACGAGTCCAATACCTAAGTGACACACTGAGATGGGATCGCGATCATATACTTGTATGATGACATTCACCCAGCTGCAACTCGCACCTGCAGTGGCAATGAATAATAGGCTGTGTTGAAAGTCCACGAGTGACTTTGATCCTCCACATAAACTCAAGCGAGGTAGGAATGTCAGCTCGTGTATTGAAAAGGGTGAATATGGTGCATCTTTCCTTCCTGATGTGAAACGTAAGTGCGTTTAAAAAGTTTGAATGAATTGTTAATGTGTCCTTTAATGAAAATATACAGAAGTCACACCATCAATGAATGATGCGTGGTTTACAAGATTCAAAGAACTAAAGCAAGCTAGTCCGTTTCTCACACTGATCTTGGCATGGACGGATCTCAGGTACATTGTATAATGATACACTGGAGGTACTGAACAGTTTCTATCTTATCTTCTTAAAATTACTGATTTTCAGTGGTCCATACATATAATATTCATATATGTTTTGCCCTTTGCACCTAATTGAATCTGTTTCGTTGGAAAATCAAGACCGTTTATTCTCTTGCATTGGCGTTTCATATTTACAAACAACGTGCCATGTATTTTGCACTATTTCTTTACATTTATGAAGTTCTTTAAGGGGGAATTTTTCTACTGGTTTTAAAAAAAACATATTTGGCAAAACTAATTACACAACAAGGCATCTTTCATCATTGCGGGCGTTCTTTCCACATCAAGGTCACAAGTCACGTGATGTAACAAAGCAGCTGACTTCTGAGAACATCATGTTAGAAATAGGAACAATATCTTTTGTTGAAAACCCGTGAAGATTCCGGGGTAGAATAGGTCTTCGGCAACCCATTCTTGTCGTAAAAGGCGACTAACGGGATCGGGTGGTCAGGCTCGCTGACTTGGTTGATACATGTCATCGATCCCAATTGCGTGGATCAATGCTCATGATGTCAATCACTTGATTGTCTGGTCCAGACTCGATTATTTACAGACCGCCGTCATAAAGCTGGAATATTGCTGAGTGAGGCGTTAAACAACAGACAAACAAACAAACAAATCTTTTGTTGAAGTGATTTGTTGGAATCATATCCTTACATTTCATTATGCATACCACATTATGTTTTCAAGTCAAAATGTCACATACAAAGATTTGTCATTGTGCCATGTGTGTGTGTATATCCATGCGGGAATAACGTGTTCTTCTTTACATGACAGCAGGGGGCAGACATGATCAATAATGTGTTTTTCTCAGTTTTGATTTCCTTTTAATGACTTCATACGTTGGCATCTGATCTCTCACTCTTGTGAAGTCATTCAGTTCAGCGTAGTCGTGACTAGTAACGCCCGACATATGCGCATGTGCATGAATCTCCCCAGTGTCACCTGTATCGGTCGTGTGTCTCCCGTCTGCAGAATCTGTGCACGCAGATGATCTCCATGTCAATCTGAAACAGTAAAGTATAGCGGAAAGTCTTATATAAACTCTAATGCTTGAATTATTCCACAAAGTATGATTTTAATATCATATCGAACGTATAACGTTTATGAAATGTGTGTAGTTACCTTCCCGTTCGTAGCAGACATGTGGCCAGTCCACCAATCAGCAACAACGTTAAAGCAATTCCTACCGCTCCCCCGATGACACCACTCTCTATAGGCGACACTGAATTAGATGCAATGACACACCTTGATCAAAACAGTATCTCATGCTGCACAAGTTGTAGCAGTATCACACGGGATACAGGCGTTAGGTATAAAACCTAACGAGGGACACATAAAACCACGTGGACCCCGAGTGATACAGCTTCATCGAATTTATCTTACCGACATGTTATAATATGAGATTGTAAAAGAATTAAAGCAAATCCAAAATTGACAGTAAACAGCTGTTCGGTTGAGGTAAGGTGACTTTCATTGCCTCGGTAAAGGCGTGCGACTTTTGGCTTCGAAGTTGGGTGTGAGGGATTTATACTCCCTCTCAGAAAGCCACGTGCAGTTTGTCTCGTTCGTGGCTGTGTTTATTCTCCCGCTGAGAAATTTATTGATTAATTATAAATCTCTATAATTCTGCCCTCTTCCTTCTTTGACAACAGGAACAAGACGATGTTGATTTGCAGTTCTGGGCATGTTAAGAGGACCCTACTGAAAAATGAACGTTCATTTTTTCGATCGATAATTCAAAAGTATTTTTGTGTTCAATAGATGTTTCCAATGATCATTATAACTATTCTGTTTTATTCCTGAATGGGAGGCCATTGGTCCATGTGCAGTCCATTTGTATACAGTAACACACAATCTAGGCAATTACATTGAAATCAATACTTGGGTATAAAAGTAGTCTTAGTCTGTAGTAATAGAGCGTCCTTCGTTACAGTCATTTTTGCTATTTAAAAGATTGCTAAAGGTATTGACATAAAATTTTACAGGATTAGACTTGTCTCAACGATGTGTATAACGGGCAAATAAATAGAAAATGGCCTTCGTCCTCAATAGAGCAGAAACTGCTGTGAATAAACAATATCCTCTTTTCTGTACAGATTACTCCGTACAGGCAATGTACTCAATCTTAACATGCACTGCATACGTCGTTTTAGTTGCTGGCGATCTATGGCCCATTTTTTATATTGTGTTGTTTACTGACAATTTATTGTTTTACATTGTTTCGCCTAGTTTTATGTCGAATATGGGATATCCTAGTTATTTTACTGTCCATCGATGACAGGTTTTTATTAAGTGTAATGATATGTATTATTGGTATATAACTTCTCGTCACGATATAGCAAAGGTACATGTATGGCTAATGTGACGTTACATTTTAACTCACTCATTCCCCGTATCCCGTACAAGACATAATATTCTGATATTCTGTACAGAAGAATTTTGAGTTGGCTGGAGGCTAACGACAAGCTGGCAGAAGAAGAAACTGGATCCCACATGAAACGAAGTTGTGTAGAACATATCTATTCACCATGCAGGCTGGTTAATCAAGGGAAATCATCCCATCAGTCAACATTTGTATGTTTTGTAGGTATAAAAAGGCATTTGATAAACTGAATAAGAACTGTCTATGTTTTAAATTGATGAAGACTGGAATAAGAGGTAAAGCTTTGTTTTGTAATATAAATTGTGCTGTGAAAATTAATGATCATTACACTGACCCGTTCGACGTGAACGGTGTTAAACAGGGTTGTAAGCTATATCCAACACTCTTCCCAATCTATATTAACGACTCAGCTGATGACATTAAGTCTCTGAACAATGGAGTGAGTTTTGTCAACAAAGTGCTGTCACTGCTGATGTACGCTGATAATATTGCAGTTATTGCTCCAAAGGTAGCCTCTGTTCAAGGAATGTTACTTCATCTGACTGATTGGTACAAGAAGAGAGACTTTTGATTAACGTTGATAAAACTATAACTATTCGTTTTAGACATGGCAAATCAGTTCAACGATCTCTTTTCTATTTCGATTGTTGGGATATTATCATTGGTTATAATGAAAGTTATAGATATCTCGCAATCTGGTAAAACGAATTCATGAATCTTCAAAAGTCTGTAAAAGAGGTGTGCAAAGCCTCAGGTCGAGCACTGTCAAGTTTAGGGCCTGAGGTGGTACTTGAAACGCGTGAGCATGTCCCGTCCTCCTGTTAGAATATATCAAGATGGTAGATTCACTAAACGATTCCTGACGCGTATTCTTCAACAACATTGTTGGCAACTATTACTGCCAAAGGTCACACTCATTCAATATAATATGAACCTCTACCTGGACATTTACTTGGACCAAAACCCCGCGTTTCACTGTCGGTTAGATTTGCTGTACAGCCGATGCTGGTATTGTCTGCCTTGATGCATGTTCTGTTCCTTGTGACTGTTCCAACAACTCCTCTACAGGTAGCCGTACAGTGTGGACAGCTCCAGGCTGACCACTCAGACAGCCAATCTTCACCTAAGGTTAAAAACATTCGAACTTAAAAAGTTTGCTTCGAGTACATGATTGTTCATTTTTTTATACAGTAAGGACAAAGTTGATAGTGATACAACAAGTGTTCGTTTTTTATTTTGTGAATTATTGTGAGCGGTTTGTGTTTTATAAAATGGCGTGGATGGTCACGCGCAAATGACAATAATCCATGTAAAGTTCATAGCATGGGAATGCATTGCGCACCATGTTGACAAACGCCGTGTCAAATGTTGTACATTCCTCTGAATGTCTTCCATACAACCCTGGAATGACCTGAAGATGAATATTATGTTCCCACTTACCTGGACATGGCACGAAAGCACAGCTTCCCGATTCTATCTCAAACAGACGCTCGGAACAAAACGTTCCTCCTAATGCTGGACGATAATTGGTGCAGGTTCTAATTCTTGTTCTTAATTTCCAAGTTATGCCACACGAACAAGAAGAGTATGGACTCCAAGTTGACCACATACTGACATTGCCGTGAACTGTTGATAGAGGACATATTAACAGTTTGAAAATGGTGTGAAAACATTCTGCTTCCAATTTGTGCATTATCCCGGTGGGGATATCTAGCCCTTGCCCCTGAATGTCTCATTACACTGTCCAGTCTATTAAAAAATACCCCCCGAAACAGCAATTTCGAGAAATGAAGAGAAAGGTGCAATACTTTTACTGATTTTAATGACATGTAGAAAATGTGTTTTATCCTGTCCAGGCAAGAAATCTTGTTCCTAAGTGTCACAACCTGAAAATGCATTTTAGATATGAAAAAAGATCGGATGTATCATATCAGTTAAATGTACTGTATAATAACGTTTTCAAAATTTTGTTCTATTAGTTTACAAAATTGGGTTGTGAGTGAGTGAGTTGGGTTTAACGCCGCTTTTAACAGTATTACAGTTATATCGCGGCGTGTCAGCTTAATGTGGGAGGAAAGCCCGAAGTGATGCAGGTCTCAGACGTTTACCACTTCCATGAAACCCACGAGCACAAGTGTGGTGCTGACAAACCTAGAAACATAATCTGGGCGAACCGGGAGTCGAACCCACAATCATAGGTTTCATGGCCCAAGGGATGCAACTCTGCACAGCGAATCCCGGCGCCTTAAACGACTGGGCCACCCATGCCCCCCAATAGGGTTGTGTGCTCCCCTGGTGGTTAAATGTTCGTCCGTGTTCGATTTCCAACATGTGTACAATGTGTGAAACTCAAGTCTCTGGCTGTCTGGCTGTCCACCTGCATTATATTGGAATCACACCCGAGATTATAGAACGGGCTTACAGAACGCTCTTGAACAGTATATATGAATATATATATGAATATATATTAAACAAAGTTAGTGATACCGGCAGTCGAGAGAGTTGCTTACTTTCCTTATGGCGTCACAGTGTCATGTTGTAAAGTTACTATCTATGGCGTCACTGTGGAACCTTTTTTTTGCCTTGATCACTACCACATAATCACTAACCTAATAGTAGTTCGGAATTTGTTTGCTATGTCGTGGCACTGATTGAATGAACTGGAAAAAATGTGTTTCTTAAGTGAAAAGTCGACTAAGATGGACTCACCTATGTTAGATTTGAACATTGAACTTTTATGCTAATCGGCCAAAGGGCTGTAACAGGAAAACAATATTTTCAAGGAGTTACAGATTGATCTCAAATAAGCATATATCCTGGGAGAGCCAGTTTTGGACATTAAATATACTCTCTCAAAAAAGAAACGCATAACGAAAATGGTAATTTGATGCAGTAATGTATTGGTACAGGGTGGGTTTTTCAAAAATATTTGTTTTGTTTATGATTTCTCTGGTGTTTTTTCTTAAAACGTCATATCCAAACGCATCCCGCATGAAAAACCCGTATGCTAAAGCATGATTTTAATGTCACAGAACACGTATTGCACGTGCAATGCGCAAGAAACTCGGGGCTCACATCGTGTCGTGGATGGGTATAAAAGATCGATCTCCGTCTTTTTTCATTCACTTTATTTGGAAGTTTGTGAAGACTGCAAAATGCCAAGACTGAGCCGCGCCAATCGTCACATCGCCATAGGTCTCCTGGAAGCAGGACAATCTCAACTTACAGTTGCCCGTCGAATGAATGTTCATCAAAGCACGATTTCTCGTCTCCGTGAGAGATATCGGCAGCAGAACGCGGTGGAAGATGGACCTAGAAGTGGACGTCCTCGAGTCATCACTGCGGCGCAAGATAGGTACATCCGGGTACATCACCTGCGTCAGCGAACAGCTACAGCGACCACTACCGCTAGGCAAATACCCGGATTGAGAAGGATATCTGCACAGACTGTCAGGAACAGACTACGAGAGGCAGGTTTAAGAGCAAGAAGACCCTACTTTGGCCCCGTCATGCGTCAGCAGCATCGACGTCATCGCGTTCAATGGTGTACAAACGCTCAGGCCTGGAATTTGGTGAATTGGCGTCGAATCTGGTTCAGCGATGAATTGAGATTTCTGTTGGAACGACGCTATGGAAGAATGCGGGTGTACAGACGACATCATGAACGTTTTGCCGACGCCTGTGTCCCCCAGGTGGACAGATTCGGCAGGGGCAGCGTGATGATGTGAGGAGCCATATCCTACACTGGAAGAAGTGAGTTGGTGTTGATCCAAGGCAACCTGACAACGCAACGCTACTGCGATCAAGTCCTTCGTCGACACCTCCTTCCCATTATCAACCGCCAGAGGGAGCTATTCCAGCAGAATATCGCCAGACCTCATACGGCACGTGTCACGAGGCCCTCTTCCAGAATGAGAACATCAATGTGCTGCCCTGGCCCTCCAGATCACTAGACTTAAACCCGATAGAACATCTTTGGGATGCCCTGGACGGGTGCGACAGCGTAACCCACAGCCCCAGACAATCCAGCAACTAGCACATGCACTACAGGCAGAGTGGGCTACATTGCAGCACCATCAGATTCAGAGACTAATTCGTTCTATGAAGAGACGATGCATATGTCGCGCAGTTCTGAACGCCAATGGTGGTCATACGAGGTACTGACTTCGAAATTCAGCGCCATCAAACGTCGATGTGTGATTCATAAACTGACTTTTTCCGATGTCTTATTAAACAGTGATACCTTGACATTTCCTGTGTAAAATTTATTCGAATTCCATTTGCTATTAACTTGTCCACAGTGTATCAAAAAAAAAAGAAATCTGTAGTTAAAATTCTTATATGCGGTTTTTTTTTGAGAGAGTATATATATTTCAAGAGATCATTGAAATCGAAAATATACCGGATCAACGATTGGTGGCTACGGAATAATGTCCGTTGACGTCCATGAGGGTAAGCACGATATCGGTGGTTAATGGATTCGAACCAACGAGGACCACATAAGGACCTCACCTTGCGAGGTGCTAAAATGCGTTTAAGTCACCTTACAATCTCATCCCATCGGATTAACGATTGAAGGTAACGGAATAATATCCGTTGGCGCTCATGACAGTAATATCCTGGAAAGCCGGATATCGGTGTTTAATGTGACCTTTCTAACGAGTATCATACAAGGATCTCACTTTTAAAATGTTTTAAGTCTCATTACAATCTCTTCCCATCGGATCAACGATTGAAGGTAACATCAACTTGTATTATACATGCCGCTGCATGGACGTCATCAAACGGTATGTGGCGACATTTGTTTTCCTAAGGAAAGGGGTTTGGATCTGGAGACTCTCGAGACAAATCTGAAGGTAATAATCATTCTCAACTCCCTGGGGAGTATGCAATCTAAGCTGCCTTTGAGGCGCTAAAAGGTTAACAGTCACACTGCCGCGACGGTCTTATCCGACTGGGTACCAATTTACTGCTAGGTGAAAAGAGGCATATTTCAAAATCTATGTAATGTGACAAAATACAAATCAAAATCAAAACTTTGAGTCTTACTCCAAACCATTTCATATTTTTGCAATATGCTGTATGTCAGATTAACTGGTATTTGGAACAAATTCTCCCAAATTTATGTCAAACTCATGCATTTTTGTTACTTATGAGGGGCGGCCGGGTAGCCTAGTGGTTAAAGCGTTCACGCAGAAGACCCGGGTTCGATTCCCGACATGGGTACAATGGGTGACGCCCATATCTGGTGTCAACCCCCGCGATATTGCTGGAATATTGCTAAAAGCGATGTAAAACCATACTCACTCACAGGGTGATAAAATAAAACATAAAAACGTTTTAAATTCGTTATCATAATGCAGGAAATGGCAAAATATTTGTATTTTTGCGTTTTGTAAATTGCCTTAGTGAACATCTTAGTCATTTTACTCATTGACTGTAACATATTCACATATCGATTACGTTACCTTGAGAAGAGGAGATCTGAATCACTGTCAAAAGAGCCAAGTTGAATAACACTCGTCGTAGTGTGTCTCGCATCTTCGATAAGATACAGTGTGTTTATATGGTACAGGAAATACACATCTTATCCTCCTAGCGCTGACTTCCCAGTCGTCCTTCGTTTATTCTAATGTAAGGTAAGGATTATTCGAGTTGTTGACTGTTAGAAACGCTCTGGCTATTCAGGACTGTACACAGAAAATCACGACATCATTGTGAGCATTCTTATAAGTGGACGGGTACTCTTCCAAATGTGTGCTTCGCGCAATGAAAACTATTCAAGCATGTCACGTTATACCATATGCAGGAGGATCAGCATAAAGAGTCATTGTTGGCAGGGCTATTCAGCTTGCGTCAGGCAGCGTTTGTTTGTTGGTATGGGTTCCCACTTTCAAACTGGTTGTAGTGTGTGGTTATTGTAAACAGTGTTTCCTTTGGTACACAATATAAAGTTTATGTGACAGATCACGTTATATACATTGGAGAGTTGTGAGGTCGTGAGTGTATTTGTGTTAACGCCGCTTTGTGTGGTATTTCAGATATGCAATGGCGTGTCGGGTTACAGTTGTGAAAAGTGAAGTGTTGCCAGGAAGTGTTTACCACTTTGGCGAAGCCATGGCTAACCAGCACGGGTTGGGAGAGGTAAAACCGTGGCGAATCTGGAATTCGGAGCCACGATCAACGCATCCTGGCACCACAACGTGACGCAACTGTTCACAGTGAAACGCAGCCTCCTATGTCAATTATCCAGTCGTGCCTGTTCCTGGTGCTGGTATATAAGATAATGTTCTTATGAAAAAGACACTTTATTTTAATGTACATGGAGTAAATTTCACTGATATTTTAAGTGAAGATGCTGTTTTTGTTTGCATGGGTGGTCCAGTTTGCAATTCTCTGTCAAGACTTGTGTCCGTGCATGTCGACCAAATGATGAGTAGTAAATGTCTGATTTTGACCTGCATGACGTTGGGCTTCTCTCACACATCAATCAGCCTCGCCTTGGTATAAATGAAATACTGTTATATCACACCACCACATTTTTTTAAGTAGACAGCATTGAAAGTCAAGTTTATTCAATTCTAGGTTGCCATGACCGTTCGAGCGTGAAGCTATTAAGCTTGGACTCGGATATTTGTTTAAGGCATTCATGTCTGCCATGCAGCGACTTGGCAATTACTTTTAGATATCAAGTTTGTCCCGTCAAGCTATTGTGAAACGATTTTGGGTGTGCCGTGTTCCGTGACATGTTCAATACATTTACTCCATCATAGCGGTATAAATAAACAACACACAAATATCTGAATGGATATTATGTCGCATGAAATAATTTAAAGATGACGAACTGGGCCGGCCAGTAAAGACTCACGAGTAGTGTAGTGTGTGCATGTTGTATAAAATGCGTGGGATTGAGTGGCTTATAATGTGTGTCTGTGTAATTGTCTTCTGTATGTGTGTCTGTTCAATTGTTTTATTTCTTTTGTATGTTCAATTGTCTCCTGTCTGTATGATTGTCTTCTGTATGTGTGTCTGTTCAATTGTTTTGTTTCTGTTTGTATGTTCAATTGTCTTCTGTCTGTATGATTGTCGTCTGTATGTGTGTCTGTTCAATTTTTTATTTCTGTTTGTATGTCCAATTGTCTTCTGTCCGTATGATTGTCTTCTGTATGTGTGTCTGTTCAATTTTTTATTTCTGTTTGTATGTTCAATTGTCTTCCGTCTGTATATATGTCTTCTTTCTGTGTGTCTGCTTAATTGCCTTCTGCTTATATATGTATAATGGTTATTGTATTCTGTCTGTGTAATTGTCTTCTTCTGTGTGTCTGTTTAACTGTCTTCTTCTGTGTGTCTGTTTCATTGTCTTCTTCTGTGTGTCTGTGTAATTGTCTTCTGTCTCTGTGTTCGTGTAAGTGTCTTTTGTCTATGTGTCTGCTTAATTGTCTTCTGCCTATATATGCATAATGGTTTTTGTCTTCTGTCTGTATGATTGTCTTTTGTATGTGTGTCTGTTCAATTGTTTTATTTCTGTTTGTATGTCCAATTGTCTTCTGTCTGTATGATTGTCTTCTGTGTGTGTGTCTGTTCAATTGTTTTGTTTCTGTTTGTATGTCCAATTGTCTTCTGTCTGTATAATTGTCTTCTTTCTGTGTGTCTGCTTCATTGCCTTCTCCTTATATATGCATAATGGTTATTGTTTTCTGTCTGCGTGTCTGTTTACTTGTCTTCTGCCCGAGATTCTCTTTAAGTGGCTACTATCTGTGTATCTGTTCACTTGTCTTCTTCTGTGTGTCTGTTTCATTGTCCTCTTCTGTGTGTCTGTGTTATTGTCTTCTTCTGTGTGTCTGTTCAATTGTCTTCTGTCTCTGTGTTCGTGTAAGTGTCTTCTGTTTGTGTATCTGTTTACTTGTCTTCTGTGTGTCTGTGTAATTGTCTTCTGTCTGTGTGTCCGTTTAATTGTATTCTATCGGTGTGTTCATTTAATTGTTTTCTGTCTGTGTGTCTGTTTAACTGTCTTCTTCTGTGTGTCTGTTAACTGGTTTTCTTCTGTGTGTCTGTTTAACTGTCTTCTTCTGTGTGTCTATTTAATTGTCTTCTTCTGTGTGTCTGTGTAATTTTCTTCTTCTGTGTATCTGTTTACTTGTCTTCTTCTGTGTGTCTGTTTACTTGTCTTCTGTGTATCTGTTTACTTGTCTTCTTCTGTGTGTCTGTCTAGACTCTGTCTAAGTGTCTGTGTAATTGTCTTCTTCTGTGCGTCTGTCTAGACTCTGTCTAAGTGTCTTTTGACTGCATATATATTTTTATATATATATATATATATATATATATATTGGCTATTCCTGTTTATTACTGACGAATCTCCGCATATTGATTGGTTATTACTATCAGATGCTCACATGTGCTTCTGTATATGGTTGTTAACTTCAACATAGAAAAGTGTCCAATGAATCAACAACCAACGTCCACCCTATCAGCCATTCAGAAAACAGTATTCGTAGTCTTCTAGTGGGCGTGACCAACAAACGTTTTCGGTTTATAGAAATATGTGTACTCAAACCTGCGTTTTCCGCAATGTAATGCCATGGAATCACCAGCAATTTATTTAATCTTCTTTGAGTCAGCAATATTCTAGTTACACCACGAAAACCTGCAGACACAAAATGAGCAACAATCTCACAATCTGGGGACGATGACCCAAAGGGAAGTAATACATTCAAATACTGTATCTGAAATGTATACCCGTATAAACGTGAAACAAGGTTGGGTATTATATTCAATTATAAACCAAGCAAATGCAAAAAATAAAAGTCAGTCTATTTCTGAGTGAAAAATAATTGCAAACTATGTATTTCCAAAGAAATCGAATGTCTCAGTTACGTCGCTAAAAATATGTATTTCCAATGGAATCGTACAGTATAGCACTTGTGTGAGTAATGTTGTTATCAGTGTAAAATTGATAACAGTTAGTAAGAGCACTAAATATGATCTTGTCTATTCTCTTAATTTGAAAATAATCTAATTTTAGGAAATTTTTATTATTGTTTTATTGGTAAAGAACTTGAATTTTGAAACCGAAAAAGACCCAAATACTTTAAAAATTAAGTATCAGAATTCAACTTTCGGGATGACTTAAAAGACGTTCAGGACCATCGTCAAGCAATAGTCACCTTTGCGATATGATTCTATATCGTATTGATAATTGCCGGATGTTTCTTTCAATGTTTCCAGCGTGAAAGGTATGTACATGTTTGTATATGAAGAGTGAAATACAACTTTTCCTTGCGGTTTTAGGAAGGCAAATCAATAATTGCGTGAACCTGAAACACACAGAAACGTTCAATCTTAAATAATGTCTTTATTTTTATGTACGAGTGTTAAATATTTACTCATCATATCAAGTCATACCGAAAGAGATACAAGGTCTACAAAATTATTCCTTATATAGTGAGTGTGTTGGGTTTAACGCCGCTTTTTGGAGTATTTCAGACATGTAATGACGAGTCGGGTTACAGTTGTGAAAAGTTTAGGAAAAGCCAGGTCTTATGGAACTACCACTTTGGAGAAGCCACGGCCAGCCAGCACGGGTATTGTGAGAGGCACAATCGTGGCGAATCTGGAATTCGATACGACGATAATACATCCTGGCACAACAATGTGAAGCAATTCTTCACATGGAAACGCAGCCTCCTATGTCAGCCCGTCGTGGCTGTTGCAGAACCGAGGTGCCGGTATACAAACTTAAATTCACTAGCACTACATGTAAAGCGGGTATGCAGGAGCTGATGTAATAGACAGGTATTTTGACTCCATTGTCACCGCACCAGAGACGTCTGCTTCTCGGTTCAAACCACGTGGACACGTGTACCTGAAGCCTTACTGGAAGAGTTCGAATCTTGACCTCTATCATTACCAGATGCGCCAGTATGGTCAGCAGACCTCAGGGTGTCGGCAACGACTCGTATACCCTATGAAAACAGGCTAAATGTGACGTTCGGCGTTGTAAAAGACAATGGAATAAAGAAAAATATGTTGAAATAAACAAAGCATTTGAAGTAGACATATGCTGAATTCTACAGGATTGTAAAGAAACAAAGACAATCTAAGACTGTAAATACACACCTGAAGTGCAAGAACGTTGTTGCAATACACGATCAGAAGTTTGCAACTTGGGGGCAGACTACTATGCAGATTTATTATCACCTCTTGACCGGCCGGAGTTTGACAACGTTTTTCGTGTCGAGACTGACTCTAGAATAAACAACAATACCACTTCTAGACGATGATCCTATACTAAAGACGGGCAGAGAAATGTTCGAAGTAAAACGTCTGAAACAAAGCTTAAAAATGCGAAAATCACCAGGACCGGACCATATCACAAATGAACATGTCTATTTCGCTGAGGGTTTGCTCCTAAAACACTTAACCCAGCTGTTTAACATGATGATACGTACTTGTTATACCTCTGTACAATTAAGATCTGCAACAATTATTACAATATATAAAGGAAACAATATGGACAGGTCGGATCTTGCAAATTACAGGTGCATCACCCTGACGTCCGTGGTGTGAAAACCGTTCCGAAAAATCCTGTTGGAGAGAATTGAGAATTTCCACATGGATTACAATGTGGCTTTAGGTAAGAGCATGGTGCATACAAAGCTACCTATATAGTCAAAGAAGTCACATCTTTCTACACGGAAAGATCTCGCAATGTATATAAACCTTGTTTCTTGATAATGAGAAAGCATTTGATCGCATCTGGCACAACGGACTATTCCTGAGATTATTCATCGTCGGTGTGCAATGGAAAGCCTTGCATATCATACATCAGTCGTAACACGAATCTACTGCATGTGTCAGATATGCTGGTGAGACGACTCAAACGTTCCAAACACGGACAAGGTGAAGGGCAAGGACGCGTCTAATCCACGTGGATGTTCTTGTGTATATTAACGAGCTTGTAATCCGCCTTGATCATTTGAAACAAGGTGTTAGGCTTGGACGTGATCACTTCCCAGTAGCCCTACTCGCGCATGGCACTACCATCATGAGCTCAACAAGTAGTGGCATATGTATGTACTTAAAGACTTACATCAATATGCTTGCCAATGGAGACAGACATATAATGCAAACCATAGCTGTGTCTTAGTGTTTAAAGGTGGAAACAAAATCAACCAACCATGTTCTTTTAGACTAGGTAACCATATACTGGACATGAAATCGAGCACAATATATTACGGGTTCCATTATCAACACGAATTTAGAATCCGAAAGGACAACGATAGCTTGTGCCAAGGCGAGAAAGAATTTGAATTCCCAAAGAGATATTGGACAAAGAGCAGGCGGTGTGAACCCAATGTGTTGTGTGACCATATGAAGTAATAAATCCATGCGCCTTCAGCGCGCGTGATCATATATGTCCAAGACAGAACACAATGCAATTGAAAAAACCCTTTGCACGTAATGTACAAAATTTCCATGTAAGATATCCGACCGTTGCAACTATTCAGACCCTGGCGTTGTGGACAAAATGAAGCTGATGTTTCTTGGGAGGTTGTGTCACAGCAAAAACAGATATGCCCTGAAAGAAATGTTTTATTTCAAATGTGCTCAATATATAACAGACAGTAACAAACCAAAAGTTTGTTTTTTTACTCAATGTAGCAAAGAAGTATGGAGTACAATAATTAACTTTATGAAAACTAACCAGTTTCCATCCAAGGATGTGTGAACCACAACCGTAGAGACTAAGATAACAGAACATGAACAGGTTCAGTACAATACCTGTGTATGTACTTGTGAGGCTGGGAACACTACCAATAACACCTGGACAGTGTTATTCTGTGTTGTACAGCTTTATCTGATGCCATGAACACCCTTTATGAACGTCTATTTGACACTTTAAATCTCAAACAATACATGTGTATTGAAGACAGTGCCGATGACGAAGTAAAACTTGAGACATAACAAGGTCGTAGAGGATATGAGCCTTTTGTATCACGATACACTAGCTCCTGGAACCTGCGACCAATGATCTATCTACAGACAGTAAATCTCATCAGGCCATGTAGATATTCAGTATTGAGAAACATACAGTTTCTCTGAACAAATTCCTTGTAAATGTGTTGAGTTAACGTGATTACAAATGTATGTCACTCTCCGAAATAATAGAGCAAATAAAGATCATTCATTCATTCACGTTGCTGACAACCAAGACTAAGTGTGTGAAACAAAGGTCGTATTTCATATTAACACTTACAGAAATATAACGAAAGCCTTTCCATATTCATGAATTCTTAGCCAAAAGCAGAGCTCATTGTACGATTCCGACTACATCATGAGCATGTGTTTTTTAATCACAGTTAAATCGTATAGATGAGCGTTTCTCCCATAACAGGGCTTGATCTCCAATCGCCTGCAGTGGTTTATTCGTAGTGGGGTTTTTTTATATACGCAATCTGATTGGCTGGCTGAGAGTGAGGTCATCTAGTACAGGAAATCCCCAGCTGTCAAAACATTACCGTAGTGATGGTGACCAAGAGAAAATTTGTGGGGGAGGAAGGGACGTGATATGTGGCGATGTATCAGAGAATTTTGGCTTCCCAGTGTACGAGATTCAGTTGCAGAATGAGAAGACGGTAACCGAAGCGAGATACCGCTTCGATATTACGGGACCAGGTGAGCCACTCCGGTAGATTCTTTACTGGGCGTTTTCAAGACTAATAAAACAGCTAATGAAACAGTTGATTAATTCTTGTAAAAATACTGATAAAATAGCGACACATACCATATTGGCTTATAATTCATATTTTAAGAAAATAAACACCTTAAATAATTTGTATCAAAAGACATGTTCAATTTTAATGTATTAAATGATGAACCTTTGCCGGAATGAACATCTCACGACCAAGATGTTTTGCGACCACCGCAGTTGTTTCCCCTTTCAACAGTTGGAATTTATCCAGATCAATATAATTCATTTATTTTGGCCAATAATTATTTGTTTTTGTTTTTTTTTAACTTAAAGACTTCAATTATTTAAACATACAATATAAGGCCAATTAAGAAACTCATTTTTTTTACATTACATTCTTTAACAAATTCTTTTACCAAATTTAAACTTGAAGGTAGTTAGTTGAAGTACCTAGATCTATGTATTTTTTTCTTAGCTATTTTGATTTCTTATAGGGAGCAGACAAAATGATGAAGATAATTATGTTGGGCACCAATCAACTTTATCAGTTATTTTTTTCAAAAACAATACTTTTTTTCAATGATGATTTACATTTATGCATCTTAAAATATATTTCGTATTTTGGATAGGATGAAATCATCTCAAAATTAATTTCATATTATCCTTTTTAGGTAGAAACTCACTATTACAGTTAGTTATTTTCAGATTTAACAGACAATACAGAGTATTAAAGAAATGTAGGATTATGTTTGTCTCATGTATATTCTTAAACCAAAGTTGTTGTTTTTATTATTTACCATGTTTACTAAAAAAAACATTTCTTTAATAATGCAACTGTTATATTATCATAGCAGATAAAGAACCCCTATATGCATAGCTAGCTTAATTTTAAAGATATTTATTCAGCATTTCTTTGGATAATAAACTGGACATATGAAAAAATCAGAAATGTATTTTTTCTTTATTATTTTCCCATTACAAGGTTTACAGTGGTTTATATTTTTCACACAATGTTGCTATTTAACCAGAGACCTTAAATTCTATTGTGTAATGTGTAAATTTTCAGAACTTGGTAAGTAAAGAAAAACTCAAACTCATGGATGATAAAGAAACGACCAACAAGAGGTCATCTTATAACATTTACCATTAACTTCCTTTCTCATCATAAGCAATGTCAAATTTTAATTTTAAAACATTTTACAAACAATTCACATATGATCAGGTCACTAAAATATATATTTATTATTTATATATAGCTGTATGAGTCCTGTTTTCATGATGATAAGTAGAAGAACATGTTAAATTGTAATTACCTATGATCATTAATTCTAAATTTCTAATCTGATAAAATACAAAATAAAAAAGTTTGGATGAAACTGTAGCAGTAAAATAACAACGTAATATTACAAGGATATTGAAATAATGTAAATATTTGTATAACCTTTGAAATGATAATTTATTGTTTACATATATCCTATGTATTTATGTTTCACACACAATTAAGTATTGTGCTTGTCAAATTCACATTGTGTCATTCACAGATTTGGGAAAATTAGATAGCTCATTTAGTAACATGTTTGGTTTTATGATGTTAAATATCATAATCAAAAGAAACATTGTCCACTGTATTAGTAAATATTTTCTTTCTTTTTTATATTACAAACACCTGTGCTCACCATGTTCAGGAACAAAACAAAAATAATAAAAATGATGACATGAAATAATCATCATTTTACATATTTAATTATTCACTGTAAAGTTCATTTTAAAGACGAAAATTCTTTTAAAAGTATTTCAATTAATTGATGGTGTTGAGAAGATTTACCTAGCAGTAATCAGATGATCAGTTGCCGGAGTTGGTATTAATAGAATCTTGCCTGATCAATCCTGCTGACAGTTGCTGTGGCGCTTGTTTTTCGTTAACAATATGTTACAAAAAAAGACAATATTTAATTTCCTCATATTAGGGTTTGTTACATTAGTTTCTAACGGACAAACAAACGAATAACGTATTTACATACACTAAAAATGTGGGCCTATTTGGTGTTGCGCATTTAGAATGATAGTCACGGCGAGGCGAGTGCAAATAAAGTTATGGGCCGAGTAATCCAAAGCCATCAACAAATATCAAATCAAATTAATTATTCTCAAAACGTTACTCCCATCAACCTTTAATAGTTAACATAGAACATAACATGAATGCTAACAAGCGGCTTGCCTGTCACGGGAAAACTCGTGTGGGTTGTCTTCGCTAGATCCTTTTTTTACCTGTTAATGGTGAGCATATTCGAAAACGAGGCTGGGGGGAATCCCGAGTGGTTACTAACTCAGGAAATCTTTAACTACGAGCTCGACTTTTTAATGGGACGATTGTTATGGGAGGAAAAGGATTAACCACTGTGTTCGGTTGTTACCGAAAAATCTACACACTTGTGATTAATCTGCCACGATTAGAACTCGTCAAAGCCTCGTTTTAATCGTGGCAGATTAATCACTCGTGTGTAGATTTTTCGGTAACAACCGAACACAGTGGTTAATCCTCTATATCTTGCCCAACCGATGGCACCCGTCACAAACACATGCAAATCCAAGTTAATTATTCACCTAAAAAATAATATAGACCATATGGGACAATTCAAAGTTGGGACTTGCATCGGACATTAATTTTGTAACTGATGCGTTAAATTTGAAAATATCCTTCATATGTCTGCCTTAAACCTTTTGAAAGCTTTACTGAGGCCTTGAATGTTGTAACCTTGATCAAACAACTTCCAAACAGGAGTTGTATGACGCTCTATGAAGTCTTCACAGAGTTGTATGTCAACCACAATAACATAAACGTCATGCTCTACTACAGTAAACTGATATCTACCATTCCATTATCATTTCATTGTTTGTAGTTAAGAGGTCGTTCAAATTCATAAACAACAAGCAAAACAAAAAAAGCTTGTATAACCAATGTCAATGCACAATTAGTCCATGATCATCAAAATATTTCAACTATGTGCCCGATTACAGAGGGCCCTGTGGACGTTCACGTTCGGTCCGCAACGTCTATCAATCCATTCAGAAGATGATTCTGTCAGTGTGAAATTTGTGTTCTATACTATATGTACGAGAGGGTGTGCTTGTTATCCAGGAAGCCTGTCTTCATTCTGTTATATTCATGGAACTCGCTTCTGCGAAAGTTGTCTTCACACGCTGGTCCGGGTGGTGATCTGCAACAGGCGTACAGAAGGAACAGTGCCACTTTACCTCTACATTGTACATGGCAATATAACCTTAAATGCTAATATAATCCATTATATATTATATCATTATCATTGCAAGACACGCCTTTGTATTATAGGTCGATGGTTGTAAAAGCCTGCTTATGAGGATCAGGTGGTTATAACGTGGCATCATCCCCTTCAACCAGTCACTGTTTGTCTGGTTTAGACTCAGTTACAGAATATAATGAAAGAGCAGCAATATTCCTGACTGCGAAGTTAAAGCAACATTCCTTCACTGGCACATTATATTCAGTGTATATCATGCAGCCTTATGTTGGTTATTTGGTTTAAAAACTACAAATAGGTATTCCTCCTCTGGAGTACTGCAGTTCAACATGTACCATGTGACAATTACAGCTCTACCCATATTCTCACTGCCAACGTACCCTGGATTTTAAAAGGTAGACCATAAATGTGTTATATTGAAACGCATCATCTGAACATGATGTAATTGTGCAACCCCCACCATCAGCAGATGTCAAATTAACCACCGCTCCTTACCTCTCCTTGTGAAGGAAGAAATTACAGGTCATGGCAACAGCTATGAAGATAAGGACCAGTCCCACACCAATGACCACGCCAGCCATGATACGGGCATCTACCGCTGGAAATGCGAGAAATGATACAAATGTTCAATTCAAAGTGTTATTTGATCAGGTTAACAAAAGAGACAAAACCCTTTTCATAGTCATAGGAAATCTCTGCCAGAGGTATTGTACGATTCAGACTATATCGTGAGCATGTGTTTATGATTCACTATCAAATATTGATGATAGCATGTGATCGCGAAAAGGTAAGTGTAGCATGCAAAGGCAAGTCAATTGTTCACCTGAAAAAAAAGGTAACCTGTGGAACAACAAGGCAAGTGAATCGGACATGATTTTGGGCAACGATGCGTTACACACACTTGTCTGGCTATGCCTGTCTGTCTCTGTGTGCGTGCGTGCGTCCTTGCGTACATGTACGTGTGTGTGTTCATTTAAATGGCATTGAAAACACGGTGCTTGGATGCACGGGCGAGGGATGGGCGGTTCGTGATGGATATAGGACGCCAAGGCTGTTTTAGACACAAAAGACTGTATTTCTGTTGGTCAAGCACATGGTCAACACTCCTGGCTGGAGGCTGCCATTTTGGTACATATGGAAATTGGAAAATGGTAAAGGAAACGAAATCAAATATAACAAAAGTGGAATTAAACAACGAAACGAAATAATAGACATTTGGGCTCAAAAGGCTTTCTGACACGGCCGCCCCCAAATTTAGGCACTAAATTTGTCAATATCTGAAGAAAGTCTTTCCACACTGGAACTAAAGTCAATTATCGTCATCTGCACATTCCGGTAGTGGGATGAGTCTTGTGATTGGTCTGGTGTACTCCTTGTCTTTCACACTGACAGTGGCAGTGCGAACACATCCATCTGTTCCGGGGTAGGTTTTAGTGACTCTACCAACAGGCCACTGAGCTCTTAAGAGCTGTGGATCAACTATCATGACAACGTCATTCATCTTCAAGTTTTGTCTTTCTTTCTGCCATTTTGTGCGCAGCTGCATATCAGGAAGATAATATTTGACAAAGTGTACCCAAAAGTGGTCGGCCAGAACTTGACTGTGGCGCCATCTGCGTCTGCTTAATAGTTCATCAGCTGGATAGACGACTTGAGGAAGAGAAGCATCATGGCGGCCAATCAGCAGGATGTTTGGTGTAACTGGGTCCACATCTCTGACATCTGATGAAACGTAGGCTAATGGCTTAGAATTCAGAATCCCTGCCACCTCCGCTAGAATGGTACGTAACACAGGTTCTGTCACTGTCTGATCTCCTAGTGCCACTCGGAGGCCATATTTCACAGATTTAATCTCTCTTTCCCAAACACCTCCGAAGTGTGGTGCATGAGGAGGATTGAACACAAATCTGACCTTATGGCGAGCCAGTTGTTCAGCAAGGTCTGGTTCCATACTTGCAAGTGCCTCCTGCAACTCTGTTTTAGCCCCTCGGAAATTGGAACCTTGGTCTGAGATGAGTTCGTAAGGTTTGCCTCTCAGTGAAGCAAAGCGGCGAAATGCCATGAGGAATGCATCCGAGTCCATGCTCCTGATTATGTCTAAATGCACCGCACGGGTGGTCATACATTTAAATATCAAACCCCATCGTTTCTCTGAGCGACGTCCAACCTTCACATGCATTGGTCCGAAGCAATCAACTCCTGTTGAGAAGAATTGTGGTTTGAAAAGTCGCAGACGTGGTGGTGGCAAGTCAGACATTTTCTGTGTCCTCGGGTTTGAGCGCCATTTCTGACAGGTGGAACACTGACGCTGATGGCGTCGAATCGCTTCTCGTCCCCTCAATATCCAAAATCTGCGTCTTATCTCTGCGAGTATACGTTCCTGACCATAGTGTAAGAGCTTCTCATCTTGATCCCGGATGATCAACTTTGTTATAACATGCTGTGGGTCAAGAAGAATTGGATGTTTGACGCCTGTATTTAGAGATTCAGCTCTCTGTAAGCGTCCTCCTACTCTGATCAGATCTGATTCTGCATCATAGATAGGGTCAAGCTGGAGGAGCCTGCTGTCTGGAGGCAATCGTTTACCTGATTTTAGTGCTGTGAATTCCTGGGGGAATGATTCTATTTGCACTAGTTGATAGAGATGGTTCTCTATCTGTTCAAACCGTTCAGCGGTCAGGGGTTGAGCATTTTCCGGGAAGGCCGCCCCATCAAAGGACTCTTTAACATCAGCCACATACACTTCCCAAGAAGTGTACTGTTCTGCATCTGGCAGCTGAGGTGTATTCACAACAATTGTGCCACACATCACAGATTTCTTTATCTCTGTATTGTCAGAGTCTATTGTCACTGGGGTAACTGGCCAATGATCAGGTGTCTGGTGCATGAAATCTGGCCCATCTTTCCACCGCGATTCCTTGCTGAGTTCTCTGAGCAGTTTGCCTCGAGTAATGTCATCAGCATGATTTCTCTGTGTGTCAACATATCGCCAGTTCTGTACATCTGTGAGATTCTGGATTTCAGATACTCGTGTTCCAACGAATACCTTGTATCTGCATGATTCTGACTTCAGCCAACCAAGTACAGTAGTAGAGTCACTCCACAATATCACTTTCTGGATTGGTAAAGTTAATTCCTTGCACAACACATCAGCTAGCTGAGCACCAGTGAGGGCTGCACATAGTTCTAGGCGTGGCATAGACAGTTGTTTCTTTGGGGAAACCTTTGATCGGGCCATAAGGAAACTGACATAGATGTTTGCTCCTTCGTCTGTTGTGCGCAAGTATGCTACTGAACCATACACTCTTTCAGAAGCATCACAAAAGATGTGTAGTTGTCGGTCTGCACTTCCAGAGTCCACACTATGGGGTGTGTAACACCTTGGTAGAGTGACCATTGGGATTTCTTCCAGCTCCTTTTCCCAGGTCAGCCATCTTTCACAGATGTCCCCCTTTTCTATAGGGTCATTCCAGTTTCTCTTTGACTTCCACAAGTCCTGTACTATAATTTTGGCTCGTGCAAGGAATGGTGCCAAGTAGCCGATGGGATCATACTGACTAGCAAGAACCCTGTAGATCACTCTCATAGTAAGCTTTTCATACTCTATGGTTCTGTGTTTGTAGGTGAGCTCATCAGATTCACAGTTCCAACGCAAGCCTAGGGCTGGCTCAAGGGAGTCACCCTGGCCGAAGGTAAGCCAAAGTTCTGTATTTTCCGATCTAGCGTCGGACGGAAGGTCTGCCACAACGGATGGAATATTGCTGGTCCACTGCCTAATGTTGAAACCACCTTGTGCAAGCAAGTCTCTCATTTTCCGTACAAGTTCCTTGGCTTCTGTTGCTGTAGGTAGGCTATGCAAGCAATTGTCAACATAGAATGATTCTTCTACAGATTTGAGTACTTCTTCATTGCCAGCTTTGTGATCCGAGACATGTTTCCATAAAGCATAACTGGCACAACATGGCGAGCAGGTGGTGCCGAATGGTAGGACTTGCCATTCGTACACATCTGGAGGGCGATCATGTTCCATGTTTCGCCAAATGAAACGCAGAAGAGGTTTGTCACGAGAAAGCAGTCTTACTTGATGGAACATGGCTTTTATGTCTCCTGATATAGCAACTGCATGTTGCCGGAACCGAAGAAAGACACCAAGCAGTGATGATCCGACTGTTGGCCCAGGCAGAAGGTGCTTGTTCAAGATTTGGCCGTTGTGCTCGAAGGAGCAGTTAAATACCAGGCGAAACTTCCCATTGTGTTCAACAATGTGGTGAGGAAAATACCAGGATTCTTCTGCTTTCTCCACTTCCTCCTTGGTGAGTTTCTTTACATATCCTGCCTCAACTAGCTTCTTGATTTTGTCATTGTGGATTCTTGAAAGGTCCGGACGATCTCTTAGTCGCCTTTCAGTGCGCCTGAGTGTAGGCATAACCATTTGTTGATCTGTTTTGAAGCAGGTTCCATCCTGTGTGCGTAACAGTGGGGTGGCATAGTGACTAACACCATCGACATCTATCCTGACAGTTTCAGATTCTAGAGTCTCAATTGCCTGTTTATCCTGCTTGGAGCGTGTCACATGTTTCTCGGTGAAAGGCAAAGTGTCGATTTGCCACAATCGCTCAATGCTCTCAACAAGATCTGAATTATTGGTGCTGTGTATGAGCATACACTTGGTGTTCTCTGGTCCAGATTCACTAGATAAACCCTGGAGGGACCAACCAAGTTTGGTAGACACTGCAATAGGCGCATTGATGGGTCCAAACTGAACTGGTTCATTGGGAAGAATGAGATGGGCATTGTCCGCTCCAATGAGAATAGTTGGCCGAGCTCCATCAATGTTAGGTATCGGTATCTTTTGCAAATGCGGCCAACGCCTTTGCAGGGATTCAACTGGATATGTGTACTCGGACATACACAAGTTATCTGCAGTGAAGGCACCCTTAATCTTGTACCTGATGTTTGGTTTGCTGATAGGAGATATTTGCAGGTCAACTGAGTGTCCATTACACCTGAATGGCTCCTTGTTGATTGTGGTAAGCAATATACTGTCCGGCTTTGTCTGAAGTTTTAGGTCATGAACCGTTGATTGTAACACCATAGTTCTCATGGAACCATCATCCAAGATTGCATGAGTCTCCATCATACCACTTTCACCATATAGCAACACTTTGACAACCTTTAGCATGACATTAGGAGGATATGAGGGTTGATCAGTGTACACTTTGTCTGTACTGACTTTCACAGAATACACTTTGGAGGCTGTATGCTGTATAGCCTCATGCAAGACAGTCAAGTGCACTTCCTTACATATGTGACATGGTTTCTTGAGGGTGCACATGTCTGGCTGATGTGTGCGCCCACATTTCCAACATCGCTTGCTGTCATGTAACCAGTCATGTACCTGGTTCACTGTTAGTTTCTTCAATCCTGGACATATATTCAGGAAGTGTTCATTGCTGTTACAGTATGGACAGAAAGGCTTGGTCACATGACTCCTAGCAGAAGATCCAGGTTTCTGTTCAAATGGTTTGGATTCCCTTGCATAGAATAAAGCCGTAGGTGCAGACCCCTTCTGACTTGTCCGTGACAGATACCTCCTGTCAGGTTTAGTACTCTCCATTTTGTATAGCGCTGTGGCCTGGTTAGCTATACGCTTTGCACGTGATTTTGTCTGCAGCCAGTCTGACAAATGACACAATGTGTAGGTCTGGTCACTGTCAGCCTTGAGGATATCACGGTTGATACAATGTTCTACAAAACTATCTCGATAACCTGGGGGTAGCTTGCCGATCAGGCGGTCAACATGTGACCCACATCTCAGTTCATAACCGGTCTCTCCCTCAAGTGACTTGAGCGTACCGACCAGGGAATGGACTGATAGGGCAAAACTGTCAAACCCATCAAAGTCACCATATCTTAGTGCTGGCATATTCATGAGTATACCAATCTCACTTTGTACAAGTTGTCTCGGCTGACCATACTTGTCCTTCAGTGCTTGCAAGGCTGCTGTGAAAGATTTGGGATCATGCATAAATGCCTCAGCTAGGTGCTTCGCACTGCCTCCAAGTTTGTCAAGTAAAACTTGGTATTTGTACTGTTCTGTAAGGTGTGGATGAATATTCACCAGGTTATCCAGTGCCATCTTAAGCAAGGCAAAGTCCTTTTCTCTTCCACTGGTGAAATTGGGTAATGTTGGTCTTGGTATGCCATAAGATGAGGAAATCAACAGTTCGGTGAGGTTAGGTGTGCCAACCTGAGGTATCATCCCAGTAATCGCTGGCGGTTGTGTTCCTTGTTCGGTTGGAGGCAATGTTGGAATATCTGGTTGGAGCGCTTGATGCTGTTGTGGCTGTGACTGTTGATATGGCATATTCGGTAAGGGAAATGCTTGCGAATCCAAGAACAATGGCTGAGGCACTACCATTGCTGGTGTTAAACTTACCTGGGGGTTGCTCCTTGGATATGAACCAATACCAGTACCATAACCCACCAGGGAAGGTTGCTGTGTAAGTACACCAGTGGCAGTTGGGAAAGTACTTGACATCTCGTTTGTTGTGATTTGTTGGGCACTGTTTAACATCTGACCTTGAAAGTGGTCATTCTGTCTGTATATTGGCATACAAGTTGTCAGGTTACCAGGATAAGGGTTGATCCCTTGATGAAGTACACCAGGATGAACTCTGTCAGATGGATATGGGCCCCGCTGTATCTGGTTCCCAAGGGTTTGACTGTCACCAGAGGGTAAAATTTGGGAGGTGTCAGGAATTGTAAGCTGCTCTGTATTATTAGTATTACTTACATTGCCAGACTTAATGGCATTAGGGTCAGCAGTAGGTGGGACCTGTCCAGTTACTGACTGTATTTGAATGTTACCATCAAAACTTGGTTGTTCCGTAAGTTCCTCTGGAGGTTGTACATTCTCTGCATTGCTGTTCGGGTCTTCATTTACCATGGTAGCAATTAGGGTTGCTTCAGCAAAGTTCTGTTGAGCTTGTCTCAGTTGTCTCTGTCTTGACAGTTGAGTATTTAGTGCCTCTCTGCGGCGAATAGCCTCACGCTCTATTTCTTCTGTCCGTCTCTTAGCGGCATTCACCTCATCCTCAGCAGCTAAGCGTGCAGCATAGGCCTGGTCATCTAATGCCTGCAATTGCTCATCAACTCTGAAATCCTCCTGCATCCTAAGCACGAATTCGTCAAGCTGAGCTCTTGTTCTTTGCTGTCTTACCACTGCAGACTGAGATTCACTTAGTCCAGATATCACAGAAATTTTTGAGGACTTACTTCTTGAACCAAGTGACCTTTCACTGTGACTAAGACTATGTGATCTGGAAGATCTAACAGTATTAGTATCTGGTTGTAACGTCATGTCTTCAGATAATTTACCTCAAATTAAAGTATTTGAATCTGTAACTTGTCGATATGTTGATGATGACGTGACAAAGATTGGCTGCCAGGCTTAGAACTTACAACACCGGTTCAACTTTGAATGACAGTTGCAGGAGTACAGTTCTAGAATCAGTTAATGTAACAGTTGCATATGCCGAACGTGACTTGGTAACAGGATATTTGGCACGAGATAAATACTGTCTCATGATTGAATGTAGGGTTTTACATTCACTGGCGGGATGGGTAATGCGTACGTACAGCGCACTGTTTATATTTGGAATTTGGCGTCACCTGGTTATTGTATCCGCCTCGCGGGACCATGAAAACACGGTGCTTGGATGCACGGGCGAGGGATGGGCGGTTCGTGATGGATATAGGACGCCAAGGCTGTTTTAGACACAAAAGACTGTATTTCTGTTGGTCAAGCACATGGTCAACACTCCTGGCTGGAGGCTGCCATTTTGGTACATATGGAAATTGGAAAATGGTAAAGGAAACGAAATCAAATATAACAAAAGTGGAATTAAACAACGAAACGAAATAATAGACATTTGGGCTCAAAAGGCTTTCTGACAGGCATTATAGTAGCTAAAGGCAAATTCTCCACAACACCCTTCAAAATTCTAAGACCGCCTCCGTGGTCTAGTGGTAGAGCGTCCGCCCGGAGAGTGGAAGGTCCAGGGTTCGATCCCCGGCAGCGTCATACCAAAAGACATTAATAAATGGTACTTGTTGTTACCATGTCTGGCGCTGGGCATTAAGGGGCTAAAACAAGGACTGGTCGGCTCGGAGTCAGTATACTGTGTCTCAGTGGGGTATTCATGTTTAACTGCGGCATGGTATCTCAGTGAGCTAGCACTATAAATCGGCATCAGTCCGGACTAGTACAAGCAGCCACACAAACACACTCACACACGCACATGCACGTCGCTATATAAATGCAATAATCTTGGATGCGACGTTAAACCTCATTTCACCTCACCTCACCTCAAAATTCTAAATCATGCAATTATTTTCCGGTCCCGCCCTACCTCCCGACCATTGACTTTACTACCCAGCAGCTTTGAGAAGCGCAAATATGCATTTCACATAACTGTGAGCCATAACTGGGGAATACAAAATAAAAGCAAAAAACAAGATCACTTGCATCATTGTCTAATTTTAGTTTTATCCACAGAAGCCCTGGGCATAAAGTGAAAAGATTGTTTCGCGATTATTTTTCGTAAAACAAAGAATTCTACGAGCATTTCACTGAGCTGTTATCGATCATATACGTAAAACATTTCCTTTCCTTATGATTTACTTTCATTTGGTCATCGCATACACCTGTTGTATTCTTAACTTGTCATGAATGCAATCGTATTGCAATAGGTCTATAATACCCATTCTGCTATTTGATCTGTCTGTCAGTCCATGCCTCGATATCGCGAATGTCCGGGTATCTCGAAGTTACCACACGGTCCAGCTAGGTTCGAGATACCACGGTTCGACTGTACCTGCTTGTTTCAAGATTGCCATAAAGACCTTGCTGCTAACCCAATAAAAAAACAATCTTCTCCATCTAAAATGTTTGTGTGCTCTATACACATTTTCATAAATATTTGAATACTGCACACCGAGTACCAAATACCTACGTGGTTTTGGACAAGCCGGTAGGACACAACCTCTAAGTTGAGATTCATTGCGTGGCCCATTACAATCCTGCCCTCCACCCTCAGGCTCTGGATTATTGCAGTATCTATTCCTGCCCACCACTGAGGTTGCTGCAAGTCCACAGGACTCGGTGCAGGCAGGGCTGCTCCACTCGGTCCATGATGACAGGCCACCATCAACTATTCAAAAGATGTATATCTGTAGTTACAGATCACCGTCAAACTAGGTAAGATGAAAACACTCCTTGTATACCATGCATTACAAGAACAAAACCAACATGAATGAATTCCCTAATGGCATTTCATTTTCACACATTCATAAATGTCCTTACAATTGTCACTCACGTACATGTATATCTTTATGCTTGCACTTTATGTGTATTATTAATAAGCGTTACTAACAGTTCATTGAGGACACCCTTGGTCGGTGATCAATGCTACTGTTTCAATGATCCTCAGATAAAGTTCATGCCATACTTAAGATAATTTTTTAAGGTCATTGGATGATCTCCTCTCTATGCGTGATTTTAAGCAATACACTGGTACATGCTACAGCTTTAAGGCAAATGGAACTAATAATAACTCTGTAATCTTGAAAACCAAGAAAGATTTATTTCCTTGATTAAATAGGGTACGGGTGATCGAGTGATGTAAGGCTTCCAGTGCATGAGTGACGTGTTGTACTTTTCCCATGATTATAATCGTTGCTCTTTCATCACTACTCCTCAGCTCCTGTTTATATATCCTGGGGGTTTATGATTATGCTTTCAGACAGTTGAAAACACAAACATTGTCTGCCACAAAAAACGACAATTTTGCGGGGTGTTTCGCTTAAAACAAAGTATTTAGGCTCATAGCCTTCATAGTTTTGCAGATGTAGCTGAATAAAAAGATCTAGTCTCCAGCGCACACCGGAATATCAAATAGTCGGTCCTTTATGGAAAACAACGTCCTTATAGGCTGTCCTGTTTTATTGCAACTATATCTGTGCAATGAGTGACACCATAACGCCTACCTTTACAGTTACCATGACCACAGGTTCTAGTCACATTTTCCTCATGGGGTCCTGTACAATTAGTTCCACCGTCCTGAGGAGTAGGACTGTTGCAGTTTCTCCTGCGGGTACTGAATCTTGTGGCATTAACTCCACAGGTTACAGAACATGGCGCCATGTTCCACGGACTCCATGAACTGAAGCCGCCGTCAACTGAAATATTAGAAAACATTGAACAAAGCACACTATTTCATTTCGTGCCTATATGGTATTAGCCACACAAACTGTCTCAGATTCACCCACGACTGGTATGTTTGGTATTATTGACCTTAGTAAATTTCATGTATCAGTGGCATTGATATGGCTCTACAGGGTATATTTATGACAATTTACCATCAGCAGGATCAATGGTAATTTTGTTTTTGAGACTCCTACATCATGAGACCGCAACTACACATGAAGATGTTCCAGTCACTGGAAATTGCTGACGCTGAACAACATTACCACACAATTCAGCTCTCCGGGGCTCAGGACATGATCTGAAACTTTCTCGAGTGACTATCATGAAACAGTAAACATACCAGCCAAGGTTGGTAAGGCCATTTGTTTAAAAACAAGCATGGCAGATTAGTTAGCGTGAGGTTTTCTAGCGAGTTACAATGGACACCGAGGTTGGATGCACACTAGTATCCATGGAGAATCCAACCCTCAGCATGACCCTCAGTCAAATTTTTCCTCCACACCAAATCCTTATTCAGTTTGTCTACATCATCGCCACCTTTCCTTCAACATCTGAGTGAAGCGGTCTCATGGTCGTGGCAAAGCATCAACAAAACCCTTGGATCCCATTCCTCAACATTTTTTGTGATAAAATCTTACTTGGACAAAATGTGTTGGTATTGCAGGTTCGTGTCTCGGTTTCAACCCGTATTTGTGTGCAATCCGAACCTCCATTCTGGGGAACAGGTTTTGTACAATGTCGTGTTCTGATCGCATTTGTGAGAGACTGGTACACTGGTACATGCTACAGCTTTAAGGCAAATGGAACTAATAATAACTCTGTAATCTTGAAAACCAAGAAAGATTTATTTCCTTGATTTAATAGGGTACGGGTGATCGAGTGATGTAAGGCTTCCAGTGCATGTGTGACGTTTTGTACTTTTCCCATGATTATAATCGTTGCTCTATCATCACTACTCCTCAGCTCCTGTTTATATATCCCGGGGGCTTAATAATTATGCTTTCAGACAGTTGAAAACACAAACATTGTCTGCCACAAAAACGACATTGTTGTTTTGCTCAAAACAAAGTATTTAGGCTCATAGCCTTCATAGTTGTGCAGATGTAGCTGAATAAATAGATCTAGTCTCCAGCGCACACCGGAATATCAAATAGTCGGTCCTTTATGGAAAACAACGTCCTTATAGGCTGTCCTGTTTTATTGCAACTATATCTGTGCAATGAGTGACACCATAACGCCTACCTTGACAGTTACCAAGACCACAGTTTCTAGTCACATTTTCCTCATGGGGTCCTGTACAATTAGTTCCACCGTCCTGAGGAGTAGGGCTGTTGCAGTTTCTCCTGCGGGTACTGAATCTTGTGGCATTAACTCCACAGGTTACAGAACATGGCGCCATGTTCCACGGACTCCATGAACTGAAGCCGCCGTCAACTGAAATATTAGAAAACATTCAACAAAGCACACTACTTCATTTCGTGTCTATTTTGTATTAGCCACACAAACTGTCTCAGATTCCCACACGACTGGTATGTTTGGTATTATTGACCTTAGTAAATTTCATGTATCAGTGGCATTGATATGGCTCTACAGGGTATATTGATGACAATTTACCATCAGCAGGATCAATGGTAATTTTGTTTTTGAGACTCCTACATCATGGGACCGCAACTACACATGAAGATGTTCCAGTCACTGGAAATTGCTGACGGTGACGCTGAACAACATTACCACACAATTCAGCTCTCCGGGGCTCAGGACATGATCTGAAACTTTCTCGAGTGACTATCTTCAAACAGTAAACATACCAGTCATGGTTGGTGAGGCCATTTCTTTTTAAAAACAAGGATGACAGATTAGTGAGAGTGAGGTTTTCTAGCGAGTTACAATGGACACCGAGGTTGGATGCACACTAGTATCCATGAAGAATCCAACCCTCAGCATGACCCTCAGTCAAATTGTTCCTCCACACCAAATCCTTATTCAGTTTGTCTACATCATCGCCACCTTTTCTTCAACATCTGAGTGAAGCGGTCTCATGGTCGTGGCTAAGCATCAACAAAACCCTTTGATTCCATTCCTCAACATTTTTTGTGATAAAATCTTACTTGGACAAAATGTGTTGGTATTGCAGGTTCATGTCTCGGTTTAAACCCGTATTTGTGTGCAATCCGAACCTCCATTCTGAGGAACAGGTTTTGTACAATGTCGTGTTCTGATCGCATTTGTGAGAGACTGGTACACTGGTACATGCTACAGCTTTAAGGCAAATGGAACTAATAATAACTCTGTAATCTTGAAAACCAAGAAAGATTTATTTCCTTGATTTAATAGGGTACGGGTGATCGAGTGATGTAAGGCTTCCAGTGCATGTGTGACGTTTTGTACTTTTCCCATGATTATAATCGTTGCTCTATCATCACTACTCCTCAGCTCCTGTTTATATATCCTGGGGGCTTAATAATTATGCTTTCAGACTGTTGAAAACGCAAACATTGTCTGCCACAAAAACGTCAATTTTGCGGGGTGTTTTGCTTAAAACAAAGTATTTAGGCTCATAGCCTTCATAGTTTTGCAGATGTAGCTGAATAAAAAGATCTAGTCTCCAGCGCACACCGGAATATCAAATAGTCGGTCCTTTATGGAAAACAACGTCCTGATAGGCTGTCCTGTTTTATTGCAACTATATCTGGGCAATGAGTGACACCATAACGCCTACCTTGACAGTTACCAAGACCACAGGTTCTAGTCACATTTTCCTCATGGGGTCCTGTACAATTAGTTCCACCGTCCTGAGGAGTAGGGCTGTTGCAGTTTCTCCTGCGGGTACTGAATCTTGTGGCATTAACTCCACAGGTTACAGAACATGGCGCCATGTTCCACGGACTCCATGAACTGAAGCCGCCGTCAACTGAAATATTAGAAAACATTCAACAAAGCACACTACTTCATTTCGTGTCTATTTGTATTAGCCACACAAACTGTCTCAGATTCACCCACGACTGGTATGTTTGGTATTATTGACCTTAGTAAATTTCATGTATCAGTGGCATTGATATGGCTCTACAGGGTATATTTATGACAATTTACCATCAGCAGGATCAATGGTAATTTTGTTTTTGAGACTCCTACATCATGAGACCGCAACTACACATGAAGATGTTCCAGTCACTGGAAATTGCTGACGCTGAACAACATTACCACACAATTCAGCTCTCCGGGGCTCAGGACATGATCTGAAACTTTCTCGAGTGACTATCATGAAACAGTAAACATACCAGCCAAGGTTGGTAAGGCCATTTGTTTAAAAACAAGCATGGCAGATTAGTTAGCGTGAGGTTTTCTAGCGAGTTACAATGGACACCGAGGTTGGATGCACACTAGTATCCATGGAGAATCCAACCCTCAGCATGACCCTCAGTCAAATTTTTCCTCCACACCAAATCCTTATTCAGTTTGTCTACATCATCGCCACCTTTCCTTCAACATCTGAGTGAAGCGGTCTCATGGTCGTGGCAAAGCATCAACAAAACCCTTGGATCCCATTCCTCAACATTTTTTGTGATAAAATCTTACTTGGACAAAATGTGTTGGTATTGCAGGTTCGTGTCTCGGTTTCAACCCGTATTTGTGTGCAATCCGAACCTCCATTCTGGGGAACAGGTTTTGTACAATGTCGTGTTCTGATCGCATTTGTGAGAGACTGGTACACTGGTACATGCTACAGCTTTAAGGCAAATGGAACTAATAATAACTCTGTAATCTTGAAAACCAAGAAAGATTTATTTCCTTGATTTAATAGGGTACGGGTGATCGAGTGATGTAAGGCTTCCAGTGCATGTGTGACGTTTTGTACTTTTCCCATGATTATAATCGTTGCTCTATCATCACTACTCCTCAGCTCCTGTTTATATATCCCGGGGGCTTAATAATTATGCTTTCAGACTGTTGAAAACACAAACATTGTCTGCCACAAAAACGACATTGTTGTTTTGCTCAAAACAAAGTATTTAGGCTCATAGCCTTCATAGTTGTGCAGATGTAGCTGAATAAATAGATCTAGTCTCCAGCGCACACCGGAATATCAAATAGTCGGTCCTTTATGGAAAACAACGTCCTTATAGGCTGTCCTGTTTTATTGCAACTATATCTGTGCAATGAGTGACACCATAACGCCTGCCTTTACAGTTACCAAGACCACAGTTTCTAGTCACATTTTCCTCATGGGGTCCTGTACAATTAGTTCCACCGTCCTGAGGAGTAGGGCTGTTGCAGTTTCTCCTGCGGGTACTGAATCTTGTGGCATTAACTCCACAGGTTACAGAACATGGCGCCATGTTCCACGGACTCCATGAACTGAAGCCGCCGTCAACTGAAATATTAGAAAACATTCAACAAAGCACACTACTTCATTTCGTGTCTATTTTGTATTAGCCACACAAACTGTCTCAGATTCCCACACGACTGGTATGTTTGGTATTATTGACCTTAGTAAATTTCATGTATCAGTGGCATTGATATGGCTCTACAGGGTATATTGATGACAATTTACCATCAGCAGGATCAATGGTAATTTTGTTTTTGAGACTCCTACATCATGGGACCGCAACTACACATGAAGATGTTCCAGTCACTGGAAATTGCTGACGGTGACGCTGAACAACATTACCACACAATTCAGCTCTCCGGGGCTCAGGACATGATCTGAAACTTTCTCGAGTGACTATCTTCAAACAGTAAACATACCAGTCATGGTTGGTGAGGCCATTTCTTTTTAAAAACAAGGATGACAGATTAGTGAGAGTGAGGTTTTCTAGCGAGTTACAATGGACACCGAGGTTGGATGCACACTAGTATCCATGAAGAATCCAACCCTCAGCATGACCCTCAGTCAAATTGTTCCTCCACACCAAATCCTTATTCAGTTTGTCTACATCATCGCCACCTTTTCTTCAACATCTGAGTGAAGCGGTCTCATGGTCGTGGCTAAGCATCAACAAAACCCTTTGATTCCATTCCTCAACATTTTTTGTGATAAAATCTTACTTGGACAAAATGTGTTGGTATTGCAGGTTCATGTCTCGGTTTAAACCCGTATTTGTGTGCAATCCGAACCTCCATTCTGAGGAACAGGTTTTGTACAATGTCGTGTTCTGATCGCATTTGTGAGAGACTGGTACACTGGTACATGCTACAGCTTTAAGGCAAATGGAACTAATAATAACTCTGTAATCTTGAAAACCAAGAAAGATTTATTTCCTTGATTTAATAGGGTACGGGTGATCGAGTGATGTAAGGCTTCCAGTGCATGTGTGACGTTTTGTACTTTTCCCATGATTATAATCGTTGCTCTATCATCACTACTCCTCAGCTCCTGTTTATATATCCTGGGGGCTTAATAATTATGCTTTCAGACTGTTGAAAACGCAAACATTGTCTGCCACAAAAACGTCAATTTTGCGGGGTGTTTTGCTTAAAACAAAGTATTTAGGCTCATAGCCTTCATAGTTTTGCAGATGTAGCTGAATAAAAAGATCTAGTCTCCAGCGCACACCGGAATATCAAATAGTCGGTCCTTTATGGAAAACAACGTCCTGATAGGCTGTCCTGTTTTATTGCAACTATATCTGGGCAATGAGTGACACCATAACGCCTACCTTGACAGTTACCAAGACCACAGGTTCTAGTCACATTTTCCTCATGGGGTCCTGTACAATTAGTTCCACCGTCCTGAGGAGTAGGGCTGTTGCAGTTTCTCCTGCGGGTACTGAATCTTGTGGCATTAACTCCACAGGTTACAGAACATGGCGCCATGTTCCACGGACTCCATGAACTGAAGCCGCCGTCAACTGAAATATTAGAAAACATTCAACAAAGCACACTACTTCATTTCGTGTCTATTTGTATTAGCCACACAAACTGTCTCAGATTCACCCACGACTGGTATGTTTGGTATTATTGACCTTAGTAAATTTCATGTATCAGTGGCATTGATATGGCTCTACAGGGTATATTTATGACAATTTACCATCAGCAGGATCAATGGTAATTTTGTTTTTGAGACTCCTACATCATGAGACCGCAACTACACATGAAGATGTTCCAGTCACTGGAAATTGCTGACGCTGAACAACATTACCACACAATTCAGCTCTCCGGGGCTCAGGACATGATCTGAAACTTTCTCGAGTGACTATCATGAAACAGTAAACATACCAGCCAAGGTTGGTAAGGCCATTTGTTTAAAAACAAGCATGGCAGATTAGTTAGCGTGAGGTTTTCTAGCGAGTTACAATGGACACCGAGGTTGGATGCACACTAGTATCCATGGAGAATCCAACCCTCAGCATGACCCTCAGTCAAATTTTTCCTCCACACCAAATCCTTATTCAGTTTGTCTACATCATCGCCACCTTTCCTTCAACATCTGAGTGAAGCGGTCTCATGGTCGTGGCAAAGCATCAACAAAACCCTTGGATCCCATTCCTCAACATTTTTTGTGATAAAATCTTACTTGGACAAAATGTGTTGGTATTGCAGGTTCGTGTCTCGGTTTCAACCCGTATTTGTGTGCAATCCGAACCTCCATTCTGGGGAACAGGTTTTGTACAATGTCGTGTTCTGATCGCATTTGTGAGAGACTGGTACACTGGTACATGCTACAGCTTTAAGGCAAATGGAACTAATAATAACTCTGTAATCTTGAAAACCAAGAAAGATTTATTTCCTTGATTTAATAGGGTACGGGTGATCGAGTGATGTAAGGCTTCCAGTGCATGTGTGACGTTTTGTACTTTTCCCATGATTATAATCGTTGCTCTATCATCACTACTCCTCAGCTCCTGTTTATATATCCCGGGGGCTTAATAATTATGCTTTCAGACTGTTGAAAACACAAACATTGTCTGCCACAAAAACGACATTGTTGTTTTGCTCAAAACAAAGTATTTAGGCTCATAGCCTTCATAGTTGTGCAGATGTAGCTGAATAAATAGATCTAGTCTCCAGCGCACACCGGAATATCAAATAGTCGGTCCTTTATGGAAAACAACGTCCTTATAGGCTGTCCTGTTTTATTGCAACTATATCTGTGCAATGAGTGACACCATAACGCCTGCCTTTACAGTTACCAAGACCACAGTTTCTAGTCACATTTTCCTCATGGGGTCCTGTACAATTAGTTCCACCGTCCTGAGGAGTAGGGCTGTTGCAGTTTCTCCTGCGGGTACTGAATCTTGTGGCATTAACTCCACAGGTTACAGAACATGGCGCCATGTTCCACGGACTCCATGAACTGAAGCCGCCGTCAACTGAAATATTAGAAAACATTCAACAAAGCACACTACTTCATTTCGTGTCTATTTTGTATTAGCCACACAAACTGTCTCAGATTCCCACACGACTGGTATGTTTGGTATTATTGACCTTAGTAAATTTCATGTATCAGTGGCATTGATATGGCTCTACAGGGTATATTGATGACAATTTACCATCAGCAGGATCAATGGTAATTTTGTTTTTGAGACTCCTACATCATGGGACCGCAACTACACATGAAGATGTTCCAGTCACTGGAAATTGCTGACGGTGACGCTGAACAACATTACCACACAATTCAGCTCTCCGGGGCTCAGGACATGATCTGAAACTTTCTCGAGTGACTATCTTCAAACAGTAAACATACCAGTCATGGTTGGTGAGGCCATTTCTTTTTAAAAACAAGGATGACAGATTAGTGAGAGTGAGGTTTTCTAGCGAGTTACAATGGACACCGAGGTTGGATGCACACTAGTATCCATGAAGAATCCAACCCTCAGCATGACCCTCAGTCAAATTGTTCCTCCACACCAAATCCTTATTCAGTTTGTCTACATCATCGCCACCTTTTCTTCAACATCTGAGTGAAGCGGTCTCATGGTCGTGGCTAAGCATCAACAAAACCCTTTGATTCCATTCCTCAACATTTTTTGTGATAAAATCTTACTTGGACAAAATGTGTTGGTATTGCAGGTTCATGTCTCGGTTTAAACCCGTATTTGTGTGCAATCCGAACCTCCATTCTGAGGAACAGGTTTTGTACAATGTCGTGTTCTGATCGCATTTGTGAGAGACTGGTACACTGGTACATGCTACAGCTTTAAGGCAAATGGAACTAATAATAACTCTGTAATCTTGAAAACCAAGAAAGATTTATTTCCTTGATTTAATAGGGTACGGGTGATCGAGTGATGTAAGGCTTCCAGTGCATGTGTGACGTTTTGTACTTTTCCCATGATTATAATCGTTGCTCTATCATCACTACTCCTCAGCTCCTGTTTATATATCCTGGGGGCTTAATAATTATGCTTTCAGACTGTTGAAAACGCAAACATTGTCTGCCACAAAAACGACAATTTTGCGGGGTGTTTTGCTTAAAACAAAGTATTTAGGCTCATAGCCTTCATAGTTTTGCAGATGTAGCTGAATAAAAAGATCTAGTCTCCAGCGCACACCGGAATATCAAATAGTCGGTCCTTTATGGAAAACAACGTCCTGATAGGCTGTCCTGTTTTATTGCAACTATATCTGGGCAATGAGTGACACCATAACGCCTACCTTGACAGTTACCAAGACCACAGGTTCTAGTCACATTTTCCTCATGGGGTCCTGTACAATTAGTTCCACCGTCCTGAGGAGTAGGGCTGTTGCAGTTTCTCCTGCGGGTACTGAATCTTGTGGCATTAACTCCACAGGTTACAGAACATGGCGCCATGTTCCACGGACTCCATGAACTGAAGCCGCCGTCAACTGAAATATTAGAAAACATTCAACAAAGCACACTACTTCATTTCGTGTCTATTTGTATTAGCCACACAAACTGTCTCAGATTCCCACACGACTGGTATGTTTGGTATTATTGACCTTAGTAAATTTCATGTATCAGTGGCATTGATTTGGCTCTACAGGGTATATTAATGACAATTTACCATCAGCAGGATCAATGGTAATTTTGTTTTTGAGACTCCTACATCATGGGACCGCAACTACACATGAAGATGTTCCAGTCACTGGAAATTGCTGACGGTGACGCTGAACAACATTACCACACAATTCAGCTCTCTGGGGCTCAGGACATGATCTGAAACTTTCTCGAGTGACTATCATCAAACAGTAAACATACCAGCCAAGGTTGGTAAGGCCATTTTTTTAAAAACAAGCATGACAAATTAGTGAGAGTGAGGTTTTCCAGCGAGTTACAATGGACACCGAGGTTGGATGCACACTAGTATCCATGAAGAATCCAACCCTCAGCATGACCCTCAGTCAAATTGTTCCTCTACACCAAATCCTTATTTATTATACATCACCGCCACCTTTTCTATAACATCTGAGTGAAGCGGTCTCATGGTCGTGGCAAAGCATCAACAAAACCCTTGGGTTCCTTTCCTCAACATTTTTTGTGATAAAATCTTACTTGGACAAGACGTGTTGGTATTGCAGGTTCGTGGCTTGGTTTCAACCCGTATTTTTTGGCAATCTGAACCTCCATTCTGGGGAACAGGTTTTGTACAATGTCATGTTCTGGTGGCATTTGTGAAAGACTGTCCACATGTCACTGGGCAAGACCACATTATCCATTCAGACCATTCCGACATACCTCCGTTAACTAGAAATATAGCTCATTGTCTTTACATTGGATTAGGTTTGATAACTCAATACCTGATCAATACAATGTTGCAAGAGAAATACAAACATTATGCAACTCATGTTTATATACCGACCATTTTATATCCCTGGGACCTGTAATTTTATCGAAAGAAACAAATTGTCCCAGGATAGCAAAGTAGACACTATGTTTGTTTGATTGGCATTCTAGAAGTTTTTCTTACTTGGGCTTCTTTATTTATATTGTATCGCCGACGTTTCGGTATTTATCCTTATACCGTTGTCAAGCAAGGTTGTCAAGTTGGTATCTCTAAAATGTGTCTGCTGTGCCATTCGTCAACTTCTAAGAAATGTCTATCAAGCAAAGGACAAGGGACACCAGGTTGTATGCGCAAGGAATCCAACCCAGGTCTTCAGCATGACGAGTCAAATCGTTAATCACAACTACATCAAATCGTTATTCAATTAGTCTTTACCACCGCAATTTTTGTTTCAAGTCTGAGTGAAACGGTCTGATGGTCGCGGCAAACCATCAACAAAACCCTTGGGTTCCATTCCTCAACATTTTTTGTGATAAAATCTTACTTGGACATGATATGTTGGCATTGCAGGTTCTAGGCTCGATTTCAACCCGTTTTCCTTCGCAATCTAAACCTCCATTCTTGGGAACAGGGTTTGTGCAATCTCGTGTTCTGGTCACATTTGTGAGAGACTGTCCACATGTCACTGGGCAAGACCACATTGTCCATTCCGACCATTCCGACAGACCTCCGTCAACTGAAACTAAAGTTCATTTGTCTTTACATTGGATTATGTTGCAAAATAGTGCCTCGGCTATCTAGCTCACCTGAAGATCTCGTGGCGGTCACATCGAAAATTGGATTGCAAGTGCCAGAGAACAATCTACCGAAACAAATTCCCCTAAAAGGCAAAAATAGCTGTGAATGGACACAGAAAATCAGAAAAACAGGTTCTCGCTAAAAAGGGAGATGGCCAACGGTCACATCCATCTGGAAATAAATGTTCATTGTTCATCCACACTATTTGGTATCGTTTTACTCATTTAATTCTTCGACACAAATAACAATCTAAGACATGACATATTTTGGTGAAAAACACACACGGGTACGACCAACTCAATTTCATCATTATCACGTTGGGACAGTATTTTTTGTGACATCAGTGACAAGAATGATGTCCGATGTAATTCCCTATTTTGACTTGTACAATATGTTGCCGTTTTTGGTCAGGTGAACTATTGACTTGCCTTTGCATTTGATTGTAACGGATGCCACCGGTTGGGCAGGATATAATAAAAGGTATACTAAATAAAGTTCTATGTGATATTTACTACAATTACCAGTGTAGTACAGGAAATGAATTAGAGAGAGCCTTTTTAACGCCGCATTGAACAGTACGTTCACGGCATGTTAGCGTGATGTGATAGGAAAGAACAGATTTGTCCACGTTTCAGAGGATTTCCACTTTGGTGAAACCCACAAACGCTGGTATTGTGCTTACAAACCCAGAAACATAATCAGGACTAACCTGGAAAGCAACTCCTTTCCTCTCCTTTATCATGTGAGAATAAAAGAAGATGCTGTCCATTAAACGTGTCATGGATTCACTGGTGTTCTTTATTAATATTAGGGTTACTCTATTACAGTGTGTGTGGGGGAGAATTGACTTGCACTGTTTTTACACGGTTAGACCCGATTATCTACATGCCATCGTGATGAAGATTTAATATAAATGACGGAAGTAAAAATAGTTTGTAACAGGTTCCTTCCAGGAGGTCAGGCGAACAGCGTACCCGACTGTTCACTTCTTTTTATTCAGCGCACACTCATCATTAGCTTTGTTTGCATTATTTCAGCTATATGAGGCGGCCCTAAAATAATCGCGTCTGGACCAGGCAAACCACTGATCGATCCACGCTTTTTGGGCACGTGATCTACAAAGTCAACGAGCGAAACAATCTGATCGATCAAGTCACCGCTTTCGACGCACATATGTTGCTGTGGATTTATTCAAACGCGGAATGTTATCTTACATTGTATAGTCTTTGGCCAAACACAAGAAATGTGCCTGTCTTTTAGGTTCGCCTAGAAGCAGTAAATGTGTCATCCAGTTATTGGGGGGCTGCCGGGTAGTCTTGTGGATAAAGCGTTCGCTCGTCACGCCGAAGACCCGGGTTCGATTCCCGACATGGGTACAATGTGTGAAGCCCATTTCTGGTGTTCCTCGCTGTGATATTGCTGGAATAGTGCTAAAAGCAGCGTAATACCACTCTCACTCACTCCAGTAATTGGTATGACATCCTCTCCGATCTGGAAATCGCCACAGATAGCATCATGTTTCAATAAACAAGTTTTCCCAACTGCTTGACCAACAGCTAACACACAATATGACATACAGACTGTATGTAGGTCACTTCATTATATGAAAATGGTGTACACTATGGCAATATTGTACACTACATCAGTTTATTGTTCATATATCATTATATTTTGTACGTAAAACACCATAAATAAACTAGTGTCCAAAAGAAACGATACCAACTTATTTTCAAAATTGTTTTTTACTAAGTGAATTGTCAAGTATGAAAACATGCCAATTTGTATTGCACATCCCAAACACAGCATAGTCGATAAAAAATACCGGGAACACGTGATCACTTCCGGGAAAAAACGTAAATTTCGTGAAAGTGACATTTCCCTCTCTAGCATGTTCTGCACTTGCAGAAAAACTGTATAAAACGGCTGATCAGACACGTTGATATCACAGCAACAAAAAGAACACAAGATATGCCACGTTTGACAGCCATCGAGAGAGAGAGAGCCGTTGGAATGGTCCAACAAGGAGCGTCACACGTCGACGTCGCCAGAAGGTTGGGCTGCGCACGCATCACTATCACCAGGTTGATGCAGCGGTTACGTCAGACAGGTCAGACGTCAGACAGGACCAGTGGAAGACCACGAGTAACCACGCCCCGTGAAGATCGTTACATCCGGGTATTACACCTGAGGAACCGCACCGTAACAGCGACGTCCACGGCGGCTACAGCACTGGGACACAGGATCAGTCGACAGACCGTCTACAGGAGACTACGGCAGTATGGTATCCGGCCACGTCATCCCTACCGCGGACCGCTCCTGACGCCTCGACACCGGAACAACAGACTGATCTGGGCCAGGCGAGTTCGACGTTGGCAACGGCGGGACTGGGCACGTGTTATGTTCTCTGATGACAGCAGATTCCTCATCTTCAGAAACGATGGACGGCAGCTTGTATACCGACGATTTGGTGAACGTTTGGCGCCTAACTGTATCCAACAGGCCCGGCCGTTTGGAGGTGGAGGGTTAATGGTTTGGGATGGCATATGTGGTGACGTCAAAACGATGCTTGTCGTAATTCGTGGAAACCTGAATGCACAGCGTTATCTTGATGACATCCTACGGCCTGTTGTGGTGCCCTTTATTCAGCAACAGCCTCGTGGACTCCTTTTCCAACATGATAATGCAAGGCCACACACAGCAAGATTGACACAGAACTTCCTTGCCAACGCCAACGTACAGGTTTTGCCATGGCCCGCATGTTCACCGGACATGAATCCCATCGAGCACTTATGGGACCACCTCGATCGGCAAATCCGACGTCGCCGTGTGCCTCCAGTCAACGTCCAGGACTTGGAACGATGCCTCCTCGAGGAATGGCAACGCATCACTCCCAACGTCATCAGACGTTTGACGTCATCAGTCCGTAGGCGTGTTCTGTCAAGTATTGATGCTCACGGTGGACATACCCGCTACTGACTTGACTTTGAGACGTGACATTTCCCGTTGTTTCTGTGATCAGTGCTCTAACGAAATGTTCATTTTTCGACCCCACCCATCTTTAAAGGCTTGTCATATTGGTTGTACAGATTTTATTGAAATGAAATTTTTGTACAGATGTTGTGAAAGGATTTCTCAAAAGCATAACACCTATCCTAAACTTCTGCATTGTTTAGTTTTTCTTTTATGTCGTTGCAAACAGGTGGTATCGTTTCTTTTGGACACTAGTTTATTAAAGAGTATTACAAAGGTCGAAACATTGAAAACTTGGTGCTTCTCTACTCGTGAAGTGTGACATCCTACGTCATAATCGTGATTTGATGTTCAGCTAAACCTTGTAAGGTTCTCTTTATTAAGGTTGTGGTTCCACTCAGTAATCTATGCCTTACATGTTTAATTTGGTCGTGGTAGAATTAGGAGATAAACATGCCGTATTTTCAATGCAGAGCTATACTGCCTGTTGATTGAGGGCGTTCCATTTCACATTCAAACCTCTCCTTGCACACTTAGTTCCAAATTCAATTTATCACTGGCAAATCTACAGGTAACACTTATGAAAAATGAAACATATATGAGACCACTGTGAAACATTCAACTGACTTTAATGAAGAAATATGCTTGGATCACAGTTACATTTATATATTTTTTAAATGTTTTTGATTTCTTTGTATATTTGTTGTTAAATGCTGCGCTCAGCAATATTCCAGCTATATGAAGGCAACTTGTAATTAATCTGGACCAGATAATACAGTAATTGATATTGCAAACAACGATCCATGCCATCGTGGTACGGGTGAATGAGTGAGTTGGGTTTAACGCCTCTTTATTCAGTATTAATAAGTATTCCAGTTATATCACGGCGTGTCAGCTTAATGTGGGAGAAAAGCCCGAAGTGATGCAGGTCTCAGACGTTTACCACTTCGATGAAACCCACGAGCACGGGTATGGTCCTGACAAACCTAGAAACATAATTTGGGCGAACCGGGATTCGAACCCACAATCATAGGTTTCTGACGTGTTCTGGGTACGATGACATGCAATTAACCAAGTTACCGAGCCTGACCACCCGACCCATTTAGTCGCCTCTTACAACCATCATAGCTGTCGTGCAATTCTAACCCAGAATCCCCGTGGGTCTCCTCAAAGTTGTCCACCTGTCTGTTGTCTATTCAATGGTTAACAACAGAAAATTGACGAGAAGACATTTTATTGTGTTAACATCCTGCATCAGGAACATTAGCAGAAATAGTAAATTGTTGAAAGTAACTTGTATGATGCTGGAGGAAACTCCTTTTAAAAAGACTTAGAAAATGAAACAAAATAATAATAACAAACACTTTATGGCATCTACTCTTCGCCGATAACTCGATACTTCGATCTGATACACCAGAAAAACTATAGGACTTTATAATAATTGCATTGATAATTATCAATAATGAAAAGACTGCTATAATTTTTGGATCTGAAGGATGTCATGGGTGCATATTGAAGTGGTCAATAGCGGAAGACGACATAAAAGTTATGTCTTTTGGAATTGTAATTTCTTGTAAGAAAGGGACAGAGAACATATCACATGCCTTGCAGTCTGACTTGTCTGATGTATGTCATCAATCCCAGTTGCGTGGATCGATGCTCATGATATCAATCACTGGATTGTCTGGTCCAGACTCGATTATTTACAGATCGCCGTCATATAGCTGGAATATTGCTGAGTGTGGCGTATAGCAACAAACAAACAAACTTTGCAGTCAGATTTGAATCCAAATGTAAGCTGCAGCCATGGAGGCAGTTGTGGAACCATACGTTTCTAATAAATGTAAGATATGGGGAACAGAATCCATTTTGTTGTAATACGTTAGCAAATACGGTAGATATGTTTTCACCTGAACAACATACCAAAACATGTTGTTAGGATGTTTTTTTTAGAAAACACAAAATTTGATGTGCAGAGCTGACCTGTGATTCTTTCCCTATTTTTTAGAGACATTAATGGAAAAGTGAAATGTTACTAGCTTACAGGCATATGGCCAATATTGTTTTTAAAATGTTTTCAATGAAAGTGTTATTATGGCCCAAAACAGCACTGGTTAGTATTAGACTCCTCTGTATCTTTGATAAACATGGAATTAGACAAGTGCCTTAACAACCATTTCACATAAATGACGTATTAACAACAGTTATAAACTAAATAAAGTGAGAACTTACAGAAGATATAAAGATGACACAAATATCAATATCTGCATCATTTAACAGTAGAAAAAAACATACTTTTGTACTAAAATTATATTTTTATGAAACGATACATGCATATTCCAACCTGTTAATGTAGGATGGTAAATATTAATAATTAGAATGTAATGCTCGTAGCATTTTCAATTTCCACATGCGTTAATCTGTTTTGTGAATATATCCTACAATCACCATTTTGCTGATCCTCACTTTGCTTTGTTTTTTGATGATCCAAACTGAGCTTCTATGTTGACCACTTGGTCTAATGGAGTGTGATAGGCACTTGTGCTCTACAGTGTCCAGCTATGTGATGTGAGTGTTTTGGCATGGGGTATCATGTTACGTGATTTTGCTAGAATCTCTATATAGGGCCTAAAAAAGCAGATTGTATTTCACGAAATCGATTTGTAGTAATGGCAGATTTTCTTGAAAAACATACTCAAGCTTCACAATAACTGTTCAATAAAACCACAGCCCCCTGATTGACAAGTCAGAATCGAGGCTTTTTCAGGTTAGAATGCCATGTATGTACAGCAGACACACATCTATTGTCTGTTAAATGCCAGTGAGTATTCTTGACTACACCTGACTATCCCAACATATTGATTGTTTGCATCTTTCTGTGCCCACATGCGATCGATGTTTATGAACCCGATAACAATCATATATTGTTATGAAAGAAATATCTTCAGAAACTTCACTGAACATTGTGATAGCTTTGTCGGGTGCGAGGAGTAATGATGATTTATTTGTAAAATCCACGGACAGTTATTGAGAGCACTGAGTATGCTATTGTCTAGCTCTTGGATAAGATTGATGACATCTTTTGTGATGAATTCAAAAGGCATACATGGTATGAACAGGGAACATTTAACGGGATGTTAGAAAGTGTAAGTGCAAACATTATACTTGTGAATCAGAACATCTTCAACAAATGTCTTCACTGCTATATCATTCTATATCATATTGATGGATGTCACAAGCTTACTTGCTTCAGTATGTTGTCATAACAACTAACGTACTTAAGGTACCAAGGTGTATCAGCAAAAATATGCTTTATTGTTTCAGAGGCATTTCTTAGAAGTTGACGGGTGACAAAGTAGACCATGGTTTATGGATCACAACTCCTTTTTTAAACATTTAAAGTGTAACAAAGAATGATATATATATTAAGTATTGTGTACTTTGAAAACTTGATTTTTACCAAAGAGTTTAGCGTGCATAGATTATGTCTTGTCCCCGACACGAAGTTGACAGGTGGTGATATATCTGTAATTATGTTCAAATCAACGTTAAACTGAAATGTGTTTCTTTGTCGTTTAGCAATATTCCAGCTATGCGACAGCGGTCTGTAAGTAATCGAGTCTGGAACAGACAATCCTCAAAAATAGACACAATAGAATGACGCAACACAATCGAAACGGGCACCACGCATGTCTTCATGTTAGAATTGATTTAGTATGAAACCTCTCACCCTTTCCACTAACATCTGGTGTCATCATATTTTTTCAGTGGTTTGCCAATTACGTCAAATGGAATCTGTTTCGGCGGATAATCAAGACTGGTTATTTTCTTCCATTGAAATGTTATGTTTGATAACGGTGTTTATACCATAATGTTGTCACAGACAACACACAAATTGTTTTACCTCTTATCCCAGAGAGATAAGTTAGGACATTTTGTGTTTCTTTTGGATAAGACCGCATTCAGCAATGTAACAGCTATATAACGGTGGTCTGTAAGCAATCCAGTCTGCATCAGATTATCCTGTGATTATGTGCGGTGATCCGCTTAATTGCGATACGATAACGTGCAATTTACAAGTCAGCGAGCCTCACCCTCTATCCATTTAGTTGCCTCCTGCGACAAGTATAGGTTGCGTAGGCCTACCTTCTTACCCGGAGTCACGGCTTTAATTAGTTTGACTATAACTGGAACTATACAAATGTTTCACTAACCTTGCGCTGACGAAATCTGAACTAACGCACACAAAATCCAAAACGTTACATGTTCCAATGGCACCATCTCAACGCAGAGTATTGGCTACTTCCACCATTTCAGACGGAGGGAACATGGCAAAATAACACAGATTAAGTTCAGCACGTTCAGATCTTGCATAAGCCTTTGTCAGCCTTGTCAAGTAAAATGTTTCACAAGCAAAATATAATGTTGTGTGTGCATTGTGTCCATTGTGAATAGTCGTCATATTGCTTTTTTCAACGCTCCCAGTCACGTATGTGCTAATAACATTCACTCCTATTCAGATACTGCTGGCAAAGAAATACATACGAATATCTACAATTGACCATTGGTCTTTGCACACTAATGCATGTACCCATGTATATGTACACAAACACGGTCCTTTGTGCGACAAATATATTTTCGGTTGCAGACTTTCAGTTGTTAAGAAATGTAAAACGCATTTGCCACTACGGCGGGGTAGCCCAGTGGTTCAAGCGTCTCCCCTTCGCGGCGTAATGCCAGTTCGATGCCAACCTTAAGTTCTGGATAACGCTAATAGCTCTTCCCACATGTGGACCCGGGGTAGAATGTGTCGTAAAAGGCGACCAAATTGGACAGCCTGTTTGCCGTGGGTTGCGCCCCCGTGTCGGCGGAGGACGGGAGTCTGGTGGTTGTGGGACCTGGTTCCAGGAATAGCGTTCCTTTGCCCAACACACCACTTTGACCCTTACTTCGCCTAGACGGGTGGTAGGATGGGCCCGGTCCTATTAATCGGCTGGTCACGCCAAGCCCTGTGCATCAATATTGTGTTGCACAATTTAATTTAATTAATGAAATTATTTGTCAAAATGTTGAAATGATTTCTTGTCTTGGCCAATTGATATATTGTTGAAATTAAAATGGATACTTTCAAGTATGTAATTTGCCTAGAGTCCTATGCCCGGAAGGCGGTGGCTCATGGGCCGATCTGGTGGGAAAATTAATCTTCTAGTTTTTCTGTTTTGAGTATATCATCCGAGTATCCTTGGTGCTGCAAGTCGGGGATCGACTTGCATTTAGCATTGTCTTTATGATACTCCATGGTGGGTGGGGAGCTCGGATGATGAAAACCTAAACACTAAACATGGATTGCGAAATCCCCCTTAAGAAAACCAAACGTCCACTTGACACTGATCATGATACCGAATTTAGACCATCCAAACACATTGACTACTGGCCACGTTTCCTGGTTATTGAGACTCCTGACAAGACGCCTCTTAAATTGAACCCGTTTGCAATATCTAAGGGTAATCAAGGAATCGCAGGCGAGGTAAAAAACATCAAAAGATTGCGATCAGGTGCTATCCTCATAGAATGTAACAGGAAATCACAATCTTCAAACCTCTTGTCAACAGTGGCGTTTGTTGGAGTCCCTGTTTTGATCTCTGCTCACGGGACACTGAACACCAGGAAAGCTATTGTGAGAGACAGGGATCGATTATTCAGTGACATGGATGAAACGAAATGGGGGATCAAGGAGTCATCTATGTTAAAAGGTTCACGACCCACAAGAGTGAGTGAGTGAGTTGGGTTTAACGCCGCTTTTAACAGTATTCCAGTTATATCATAGCGTGTCATCTTAATGTAGGAGGAAAGCCCGAAGTGATGCAGGTCTTAGACGTTTACCACTACGGTGAAACCCACGAGCACGGGTATGGTGCTGACAAACCAAGAAACATAATCGGGGTGAACCGGGATTCAAACCCACAACCATAGGTTTCTGGCGTGTCCAGGGGACGCAACTCTGCACAGCGAATCGTGGCGCCTTAGACGACTGGTCCACCCGTGCCCCCACGACCCACAAGAACAACGAAACTCAACCAACGAATACTTGAGTCTTTTCTTTTTTCTTCTCCGACAGCTCAGAAATCTATAAAGGCAGGTTACTGCAATATAAACGTGGATACTTACATCCCAAACCCTTTGCGATGTTTCAAATGCCAAAGATGGTGTTAACGCCTGCGCCTCTTCTGTTGCATGTGCTCACTGCAGTGAGAATAATACACATGTAACAGAAGATTGTGACAGCAACTTCAAAAAATGTACCAACTGTTCGAGAAACCATTCTTCATTCTCAAAAGACTGGAAGCAACAGATGGAGATAAACAAAATTAAATTCACCCGAAACCTTAGTTTGGCTGAAGCCAAAAGACTTCAAACTCCAGAATTAAATGAAACTTATGCGTCCGTAACCAGAACACCAGCTGAATCAAACAGACATACATCCACGTTATCTGTAACAACGGCTTCAATACAATGCCAAACAGACCCAACATGGGTTCACTCAGATCATCCTGAAGTCTTCTCGACTGAACAGTCCACTCAGACTGCAAAACTATCTCAAGGTGACTCAGAATTATCTTATATCTCTCAGGACCAATCATGACCTCAGTCAGCTCCAAAACCTCAAACCAAAGTGAAACAAGTTGCTACAAGCAAAGCCAAACCTGCAACAGAATCGTCAAGAAAATATCAAAGTGGCAGACCCTCAAAAGGATCGAAGAACCAGATCCAAATATTTAACAAATTTGGATCCCTTGAGGACATGGATGTGTCCGAAAACATCCAACATAGGGCACACAGCTTGTCGCCCTCAAACAAAGTACGGGGAAGATCTCCCGTCAATCCACCGATGAGATAGTGTCTTCAAATACTATTATACAGTGGAATTGTAGAGGACTGAAGACCAATTTTAATGAGTTACATCTATTAGTCGAAGATTTTAAACCATCAGCGGTCTGTTTGTGTGGCTGCGTGTACAAGTCCGGACTGATGCCGATTTATAGCGCAAGCTCACTGAGATACCATGCCGCAGTTTTACATGAATACCCCACTCAGACACAGTATACTGACTCCGAGCTGACCAGTCCTTGTTTTAGCCCCTTAATACCAAACATCTTTTAACGTCTTTTGGTATGACGCGGTCGGGGATCGAACCCCGGACCTTCCACTCTCCGGGCGGACGCTCTACCACTAGACCACGGATTTTCCCCCTCCAGGTGATAGGGCCACTGGAGGCTCTTCAATCATTGTTAGGCATGATGTCATCCATAGCCCTGTTATACTCAGTACTAATCTACAAGCAGTTGCAGTTAGACTTACTTTGAACGTTGCTTTTACTCTGTGCTCACGGTATATTCCGCCTTCATCAGCTCTCCAGCAGTCTGATCTTCAAGCTCTATATGATGAACTCCCTAAACCCTGTGTAAACATGGGTGATCTACATGTTAATGGCCACAACCCACTCTGGGGTGGTACACACACTAACAATAAAGGTAAAATAATTGAAGATTTCCTCACTAATAATGACCTGTGCATATTTAATGATGATTCCAACACTTATCTACATCCTGCAACTGGCACCTACTCTTCTCTAGATTTATCTATAACTCACGCCTATCTACTCACGAATTTGAATGGCCAGAACACAATAATCTTTGTGGAAGTGACCATTTCCCAACTATCATTAAAGCAATCAATCCATCTGATAATCCACCTTCAAGTAGATGGAATTTTACAAAGGCTTACTTGACTTTATTTCATTATCCACTGATCCCATTCAGGTTTTTACTGACGTATTAAAAGAAATTGCTGATGAACGAATACTAAAGTTCTCTACAAATCCACATATACGAAAACCATGGTTTAGCACCGATTGTAAACAAGCTAGGAAAGCTAGGAAAAGGCAGAGAAGTACTTCCGTCATCATCCAACTGTCCATAATTTAAATAAATTTTATATTTTAAATGCAAAAGCTCGTCGTACGTTCAAACAAAATAAACGTCAATCTTGGCGGAACTATGTTTCTTAAATAAATTCACGTACACCAATGTCTAAGGTTTGGAATATGGTTCAAAGAATAAAAGGTCAAGGTTCCAATTCTAGTGTTCACCATCTTAAAGAGGGTGACACATTACTAACTTATAAATCTGATATAGCCAATAAATTAGGAGAAACTTTAACTCAACATTCTTCATCATCAAATTATGTACCTAAATTTCAGAAATTTGAGGATAAGACAGTCAAGGGCCATATATATATTCGTATTACCTGATGATTGATGTGGTCTATTGAGAAGTTTCCAAAACGTTTTACTATCATTAATAATTTTATGAATGTTTCCGTGATCTCTTTGCCACACAAATGGCGTTTATCTTGACGTCTTTTCTTATATTCGTATTTGTACGTTAAAATTTAGTTTGAGTTTTCCAGCTTCATGATCATGGCGAAATTTACGCAAATAATCATATATATATGTTTGTTTTTTCCTTAACACATTCTTTGTAAAACCGCTTGGCTTGTTTATGTTTGAGGTATATATTAGCTTAATTATAGAATCCGCAGAATGTAACAACATATGTGTCTTATTAATCAATCTGGCAGACCTATTGTTCACTTTTACCTTACATTTTCTCTTACCAAAATTGCCTTTACATCACACCATGAATACTTTTGAGTATTTTCATGTATAGCTTAAATACACGACAGCGCCCGACCTAAAATTGTACTTGATAATTCTAGTTTGAGAGGCATATGATCTGATTCAGATCCTGCCACGATTAAAAGTCTATGACATAATCAAACACCGAACTTAAAGTAATATAATAGTCTCTTACACTTTTCCCCCAAGTGTGAAACAAAACATTTTTTTCCAACTCTACAATCCGCCCTACATCTGCCATGTACTGATATGAAATACACTGAACACAACTTCAATAACGTTCTACCATAAGAATTAACTTGTGTACCCTATGTGTTCCAAGTTGCTAATGAAGATGTTTTTAAATGGAAAATTTTAAAGGACATGAGAATTGGAAACAAGTATAAGCAACTGCAATTCAAAATTCTACACTCAGTCATTCCTTGTAATCAGTATTTAAATAGAATTAACATTAAAGAAAGTAATGTATGTATACATTGTGGTAGTATAGATACTGTTAGACATTACATGTTTTACTGTTCAAATGTATTACCCTTTTGGATAGAATTCTTTAAGTGGGCGAAGGTTAATGTGCATAATCAGATTTATGATAATTACAAAGATTTTTATTGTATGGTATAGACGGAGGCACAAAGGAGTGTACTTTGATGAATTATTTACTACTGCTAGCAAAGTATATTGTGTACAGATGTAAAGTAACTGAACCGACTGCCTTTTTAGAATATTTAAAAGAGAACTAGAAATACAATACAAAGTACTACAGTATAACAATGTTAATCTTGCAGAAAAAATTACCTGTGTACTGAATAATTAGATGAGTATTATAGCTTACAGATGAAATTATTGACTGTTTATAAAATATTTGACATTTGGATGCGGCTGATGACATCGATGGAGTTACATGTGGAGGACATTTCCACATTTGACGCACCAGTGACAAAAATGATGTCCGATGCAATTCCCTATTTTGACTTGTACCATATGTTCCAATGTTTTGTCGGGTGACCAATTGACTTGCCTTTCCATGTGTTTGTGACGGGTGCCGCCGTTGGGACAGAATACGCTCACCTTCTCGCGAACACCTGGTACCATTACTATTTGATAGTGATTCATAAAGACACACTTACGATATAGTCGGAATTGCACAACGGAACTTGCCTTATGCAGAGATTTCTATTGGATATGGAAAGGGTTTTGTCGCTTTATTATCCCCCCGGCATATAATGCGGGGGGGGATATAGCGATCAGCCAGTCTTTCTGTCTGTCCGTCCGTCTGTCCGTCTGTCTGTCTGTCCGTCTGTCCGTCCGTAATCATTTCCTTTTCCGGGGCAGAACTCGAAAATAATTCAGTGTATTTGATCGAAACTTGGCATATCTATCAGTCACATACTGAAGTTGTGCCTTTTGCTATTTAGGAATTTTGGAATTTTTTATTTTTTAAGTCTCCATGGTAACAACTTGGACTTAGGTTCTATAGGGTAGAGTTTGTTTCCAGAGCATAACGCAAAACCCATTCAAAACTTTCTTACAAAACTTTACATGTCCATCAGACTCATGCTGAACTGGTGCCTTTTGCTATTTAGGAATTTTAGAATTTTTTTATTTTACGTTTACATGCAAACAAGTTGGACTTAGGTTCTATAAGGGTGGTGTTCGTTTCCGGAGCGTAACTCAAAAACTGTTAAATACTTTCTTACAAAACTTTGCATGTCTACCAGGCACATACTGAACTGGTGCCTTTTGCTATTCAGGCATTTTAGAATTTTTTATTTTTTACGTTTCCATTGCAATAGTTGGATTTAAGTTTTCATGTAGGGTGGGTTCAATTATGGAGTATAACAAATAAAACTTTCTTACAAAACTTTACATGTCCATCAGACTCATGCTGAACTGGTGCCTTTTGCTATTTAGGAATTTTAGAATTTTTTTATTTTACGTTTACATGCAAACAAGTTGGACTTAGGTTCTATAAGGGTGGTGTTCGTTTCCGGAGCGTAACTCAAAAACTGTTAAATACTTTCTTACAAAACTTTGCATGTCTACCAGGCACATACTGAACTGGTGCCTTTTGCTATTCAGGCATTTTAGAATTTTTTATTTTTTACGTTTCCATTGCAATAGTTGGATTTAAGTTTCCATGTAGGGTGGGTTCAATTATGGAGTATAACAAATAAACTGTTAAATATTTCCTCGCCAAACATTGCATGTCCATATATAAAGTACATACTGAACAGGTGCCATTTGATATTAAGGAGTTTTAGAAATGTTTATTTTAGAATTTCCATTGCAGCTATTTTGACATGGGCTAAGAGAAATGTTGGGTCAGTTACCTGGTTTGGGACCATAACGTGTTAAAATGGGTGGGGGATATAGATGACTTCGTTGACTATACGCTTGTTTCTTGTAATTTGTCATTTGTTTGCATAAAAAAAACACACAGAAACACACGTTTTACTTTCCATTTCATATAGATGCGACCATGGTGGATCTTTTGTTGGTAAACAATGTATGCTTCTTAAAGAATATTCGACTCTTGACTCATTACATACAGAATTGCACATTTACTTGTGGCTACTTTACAGACAGCTGCCGCGGAGATATGTCATCTTTCTGATGACTTTTGTTTACAAGAAGCATAACATTTGTCAAGAAGCTTTTCATTGTTGTTCATTGACCCGTTGATGACTACTTCAGTGGTGCATTGTTAGTAAACGTTATATTTTTTATTAGTTTGAATTGGTACGGTGCATGAAAAAGTAATAATTAGACCACTCTTTTTGTTATTCATTGTCCTTGAAATCAGATCAATGATTCACAAGGTTTGAGATTTCTGTAAGTGGTTAAACAATTTTTTGTGTACTTCTTACTTCTGATTTACTTCTGTTTTTGATCTTTCGAAACACACCTACACCGGCAAGGATAATTCGTTCAATGAACTTGTATTTGACTTCACTAGATGCTTATCCAGTCAGTATCACAGGACATTTGAAGACAAGACTCACCAAGCAATGTCAAATATCAAAACATAATACATGAAAGTGACACATAAAAGTTGCAATATGAAAATTAAATTTCAAAGAAAAGGTCAAAATTGGAGAAATACTTATTTTTGGCAAACCAATGCATGTAGCGAGTTCCTTCTGTTAATATATAGTAGTGTGCAGTGTACATGACATTGTTAAAGACATATATCATTCACATGCACCTAGACGCAGAATTCCTCTACTTCCTTTATCTTGATGTATGACTAAAGACGATATGACAAATATCATTAAATTATATTAATAATCACACAGTGTTTTGTCTCCTTTGCATACATAAAACGTATATGCAAGAGAATAAGAAATCTTGATTATCCTCCGAAACAGATTCCATGTGGCGTACGGGCAATCAATGGCGGAAAGTATCCTAAAGAAGTTCACCCGTGCAAAGACGCAATGTTTCAATACATTTGTGATGTCTTATACATTGATGCACATGCTTATTAGATAGTCGGACATTGTGTAAAATCGTTTGATCTCCAAATGCTTTAATCATAAAAAAAATGTGGAATCGACATAATTGGAATATGTTGCCGCTTTTTCTATTGATTAATGCAGACAGACCGTAGCATGGAACAGGTTTAAAAACATTCTACAAACATCAATCAATATAATGACACTTGTCGCCACGGCGTACGTATTAGTATTATCATCAAAAGTCAATGCAAAAGGAATTTGACTCGTCAACATCCTCATCTTCCTTGTGATAAAAATCGCTATTCATACTTGGCCTTCAGTTCTTTTCAAACACACCCTAAGTGTTGTTTAGACAATCCATTGGAGTACCAGGGAGTCAGTGAGTCCGTGAGTTTGGTTTTAAGCCGCTTTTAGCAATATCACGACGGGGGACAACAGAAACGGGCTTCACACATTGTACCCATGTCGGGAATCGAACCACGGCGTGACGAGCGAACGCTTTAACCACAAGGCTACCCCCACCGTCCCCGGGGTGCCAGTGGCAAGGGAACTGTGTCTTCTTATAACAGAACACAACGCTCTAGATGTTATTTGTGTATGAACCCTAAACACTCATGCTTTAAGAAGAAATCTCTTATGGATATGGAAATGGTTTTGTCGCTTTTATTTATTTTCACAACTCCATATTTCCCAGATTGGCCCCTATCAATATTCTTGAAATATCACCACCGTACGAATTGTCAAAGCGACCTATATCTTACAATACCTATTCAATCTCTAAAGCGCTTGTAAGGTCGCCATATGCTGCAAACAGCATGGAACCGTCTGGCACCCGATATTAACCAAAAAAAACATACAAATCGGTAGAACAGATAACTGCAAAATACACCACACATGCTACTGAATAAATCAGGAAGCAATGCTTATTGCGTATTGATCAAACGACCGTATTTGTTTGCATGAAGTACGAATAGGTTTACAAAGTGTGAATGTTCTTTGACATCTATCAGGTATATTCCCACTATAACACGAAGGCCTGTATCCAGGCAACGACCCTTGCTGCCTGGCAACAAGATGACATGCCTCACACGCAACTGATCCCGTTGAATTCTATTCACAATTTGAACCTATGAATATGGAAATCATTGAAAACCTAATAACTCCCTCTGGTTCATCATGAGAGCGACACACCTGTCATAAGGAGACTCCGATTTGACAATTTGGGAAACAACAAACATTTTTACCTCAAATGTTAAATTTCAGTGAAGCATATACTAGTTAGGCTTCGACTGATAAACGGGAATTTATTATTATTATTATTGTTATTATAATAATTATTATTATCATTATTATTATTTTTAATTTTTTTTATAAAGTGGCATATGTACCGCAACGTCACAATGAAAGAATAAAGATATTGACATATGGATTTCAACTTCATTTAGAATGACTCATTGATCCATGCTTGACAACTGTCAACAGCAAAGGTATTTACAGTTCGCTTTCAAACGGACAGAACACGTACACCAGCTAGAAAGGACCGACCGTGTGTTGTCCAATTTAATGGTCAATTGGCGTTAAGACTTTTATTTGAATTCAAAACTCGGCGACATAATGATGTATGCACTGACGACTTTGTTAATATTAGTAGTACACGGTGTTCATGGTCAGAACTGTGGACATTGTACAGTCACCAAGCATACAGCGTTAGATGACCACATAAGTCCCTCATACCAACTCTGGACAAGAACCAATTCTCTGACAGTAGCAGAATGCGGTGCAGGCTGCTACATGGATGTAGGATGTCGTTCCTTCATCTACAAAGGTGCAACGACAACGTGTATTGGATACGCCAGCAGCATGTCGACACCAACGAGGATGGGTGCTGTCGCTGAGGTTGGTGCAAGAGCGTATCTGATGTGTACAGGTATAGTCGATTTTGATTCTCCGTTCCCATAATCTGAAGGGTGTCATTTTTTAAGGTCAAAACGGGGGGCACGGGGGGCCCAGTCGTTCTGCATATTTCGCCTAAAATGTTTGACAAAGTTACATATTTCGCAAAGGATACTTTCAGGTCTTTTCTGATTGTGAAACATCGCCCAAACGCACCATTTGGTAATTTATTGACATTTAAAACGGATTTTTCGAAATCGTCAAGAAATAAGCATGGATAAAAAGCTGCTTGCACTTCTCACGTGGTTTTCAGGGAAATAGAGGGTAGGGGTGTTAGGTCTAAACAGGTTGTAAACAGTCTGCTGTTCCTTGACTGTGAATATTTTCGAAATGCCAGGACCAGACACTGCAACTTGAAATTTCTCCATCGGACTATAGAGGCTGGACAATCTTTAATGTCCACAGCAGCACAATTTCACGTCTTTGGGAAAAATAAATGGTATAGGACCACAAGATATCACAATTGCAGCTCGGGACATGTTCGTCCGGGTCATCCATCTACGTCTATGCCTAGTCTGCGTTGGGACAACACGTCATCGTCTTCGTGAATTTGGACTTCCATTCTGAAGGCCGTATTGCGGTGCTATTCTACGACGTGAGCCACGCGTTTACGATGGTGTGTAAACGTTCAAGCATGGAATCTGAATAACTGGCGTAAAGTTTGGTAGAGTGATGAATCTCGTTTTTTACTGCATCTTCGAGATAGCCGAACCTGTGTCTACAGACGTAGAAATGAATTTTTTACTCAAAATGATGCTGTCGACTTTGATAGATTCATAGGTGGCAGTGTCATGATGTGGGCGGCAGTATCCTACACCCGTTGAACCAACCTGGTCTGCATGCAAGGCAACTTTCCAACATTAAATTACCGAGATGAAATTCTCCAACGAAGCTTGCTTCCAGTTTTTTACCCTCAACGAGAGAATTTTCAGCAAGACAAGGCCCGACCACAGAATCCGAAAATTACTGTGCTTCCATGGCCTTCCGAATCGCCCAAAATAAACCAAATTGGACATCTATTGGATGAACCCGATTGCGGTAAGCGACGTCAACCGCCTCAAACGCTTCAGCTTTTTCGCAAGGCATTGCACGATGTATGGGCACGGATACCATTGGATCGAATTCAGCGACACAGTCAGTCAATGGGCAGGCGTTGCAGAACACTGATACGGGCCAATGGTGGTCATATTAAATACTGACGTTAACGCTGCCATATCACGTTGTGTGAACGTTTGTGTGACAGTCAGATTCGACAACAGACATTATGCCTTTCATCATGATTGTAACGTTTGACATTCATAGATATTTGCCTCGGTCTAGAAATATCACTTGAATTAAGACGACGAATGTTACCTTTTTTACCTGTGCGTTTCTTTTTTGTTCGTTTTTTGTTGTTATTTTTTTTTAGGGGGGAGAGATTATGTTTTTGAAACCACGCACTGTTTGGACATTTCAGGGATACCAGATCATGTAAATATCCTTTATAGTCCTGAGAGATGATTTTGGCACACTTTTTTGTCATATTGAGGGTCTAGGTCACAGCCTGAAAACAATGTTTGGTGATCAGTGTTATAGCCATCATATATCCGCACCCGATGTTTTGGCTGTCATCAGGACATTATCGATGTTGTTTAAATCATTATGTACGTGTTGTTTGCGACCTATCTAACCCGGAAGCCAAATATTAGGGTTTCTACTCTATATTGTTATCATATATATGCCATATTCGATACCTTTGCCATCATGAGGCAAAGCCTTTTTGTCTGTCATTCGGCTACTCTCGATGTTGTTGCCTCTATATAAATGTCCAACTAGATCAATGCACTTCATGTCAGCATCCCCCATTGGTAACTGAGGTTCTGGTTTGAAATTCGTCTTCGCCATGGTATCTGTTTGCATAGTTACTTCGACCTTCCATCAGCCATCATTCTATATGATATTACATATTTGTTGTTCAACGCAGCGTGGAGTTAGTGAGTGAGTTGGGTTTAACGCCGCTTTTAACAGTATTCCAGTTATATCATGGCGTGCCAGCTAAATGTGGGAGGAAATTCCGAAGTGATGCTGGTCTTAGACGTTTACCACTTCAGTGAAACCCATGAGCACTGGAATGGTACAGACAAACCTAGATAACATAGTCGGGGCGAACCAGGATTCGAACCCATGATCATAGGTTTCTGGCGTGCCCAAGAGATGCATTTCTGCACAGCGAATTGCGGCGTTTTAGACAACATGGCCAGTCGTATGTAATAATTACATTTTTTTAAATTATTGTCAGCGTCGCTGTCGATTGGCCATTCCTGTTCGAATAACGATGAATGCAGCGTGACCAATTCTATGTGTAACAACGGAGCCTGTGACTGTGACGCTTCTCATTACTACGACATCCACAACAATGAATGCACCGGTAGTATCGACCCTTTTCATAGAATGAGCTCATTGTTGTGTACAATCCATGATCCATTCAGCCCTAAACAAAAGGCGTGACCTCCTCCGTGGTCCAGAATTAGAGCGTCCGCCCGGAGAGCGGAAGGTCCGGAGTTCGATTCCCGGCCGCGTCATACCAAAAGACGTTAAAAGATGGAACTTGTTGTTACCCTGTCTGGCGCTCGGCATTAAGGGGCTAAAACAAGAACTGGTCGGCTCGGAGTCAGTGCACTGTGTCTGAGTGGGATATTCATGTTGAACTGCGGCATGGGCTAGCACTATAAATCGGCATCAGTCCGGACTAGTACAAGCTGCCACACACACGTGCATGCACGTCGCTATATAAGTGAAATAATCTTGGACGCGACGTTAAACCCCATTTCACCTCACCTCACCTCACCTCACCTAAACAAAAGGTGTATCTAGTTTGATAATTTGGTTTACGGATCCCCCCTTTTGTGGTATGACGTACATGGGGCGGAATATAACCTTGTATAACTTTTTAAGTATTTTGATCATCGCTCTAACGGTTTTGCCAAAAACGTATATTTCTAAAGCTTGGAATAGAAAGGTATAAGGGTATATTTATGTTTAACATCATATGAGTCAGGAATTATGGATTAAAGAAACCAAGAAGATTTTTTTTGTAATTTCAATATATTTTAATTCGATCATCGATCCAATTGTTTTCAAACAGTTGTGTGTTAATCATCGTACATATCCGTTCTAAATTTCTTTTAAGAAATTCACCGATTATGTCATTCCACATTCACTCACTGTGTTTTTTTCAGTGACCAACTTACTAGCCAGCCCATGTGCTGTAGACTCGGATTGCCCTGTGACGGACTCTATTTGTGACAATGCCACCTCTCTCTGTGCTTGTAATCATAGCACCATTTACAACCAAACTGTGAACCAGTGCGTCGAATGTAAGTACTGGGCCTCATTGATTGCATTCATTCCAACTCTGTGTCTGTTATCTATCATCGGTCCTGCCCCATCACTGAAGCATAATTAGCCTTAATTGGAAGCACAATAAGCACGTGTGGTGTTTCCTTAGACAAGTGACTTAGTTCGAAATATGCCTCTGTTCACCCTGCAGTAAATTGATATCCGGTTGGATGAGATGGTTAGTAACTGTTAACCTTCCTGCACCTCCCAGGCAGCTTGGGTTGTGAGTGAGTGAGTGAGTGAGTTGGGTTTAACGCCGCTTTTAACAGTATTCCAGTTATATCACGGCGTGTCAGCTTAATGTGGGAGGAAAGCCCGAAGTGATGCAGGTCTCAGACGTTTACCACTTCGGTGAAACCCACGAGCACGGGTATGGTGCTGACAAACATAGAAACATAATCGGGGCGAACCGAGATTCGAACCCACAATCATAGGTTTCTGGCGTGCCCAAGGGAGGCAACTCTGCACAGCGAATCGCGGCGCCTTAGACGACTGGGCCACCCGTGCCCCCGCTTGGGTTGTGTACTACCTAGGGAGCTGAAAATTTAAATCGAGTGCACACTGATCCATTAACCGGGGTAATACATCGGGGTGTAGGGTTTTCAGTATGCCCTGTGTGGTGTGGAAATATAGCGCAATATAAATCAGTATGATATGTTAACGTTTACTACAGTTGTACAGACTGCCAGTGGCATGCAATTGTTCCGTAAGACCACAGTCAGCAATATTTAACATGACGGCCTGCACATAATCAAATCTGACCAGACAAACCAGTGTCTGAAAACCTTTATCAACGACCCACGTCCTGGGGACATAATAATATGATTTTGATCTGAACTAGATAAAGTCAATATTACCACAATATTCCAGCCGTGTAACGGTGGACTGTAAATAAATCGTTTCTGGACAAGACAAACGAGTGACTGACAATGATCTATGCTACCGGGGCACAATGACACGCAATCCGCTAAATTCACCAAACCTGGCCACCGGATCAATTTTGGTGACCTCTTCCCTCAATCACAGCTTAGTGCATGCGTGTCGTTTATATCCTTGAATGACGAATGTATCATGTAAATACTCATTACGGTATACGCTGTCATTATGGTGTCAATAATGCTACATGACTTTCCGGTATTATCAATAACATTATGCCATCATCGTAGCTTCACACCGGCTAGGACAATCCTGCAGTGGAGCTTCAGAATGCACCGTCAGTAACGCCATCTGCAACACCGGCCTCTGTGCCTGCAAGTACGGCTACACCTATGACACGACAACAAAGGAGTGCCGACAATGTGAGTAATCAAATTATTGAAAATCAATATTATTTAGGAAATCTTTGATTGGCTTTAGAAATTAGAAAATGATGTGGTTGTTTGTTGGTTGGTTGGTTGGTTAACGCCGCACTCAGCAATACTCTGGCTAAACGACGGCGGGCTGTAAATAATCGAGTCTGGACCAGATACTCCAATGATATCATGAGCATCGATCCACTCAATTGGGACATCGTGACATGCTATCAACCAAGACAGGGAGCCTGACTACCCGTTCGCGTTATTCGTCTCTTACGACAAGTATGGGTAACGACAGACTCAGACCAGACTAAATAAATAATAATTAAATTAACCGTTGCTGAAGACCTATTCTAACCCGGATCTTTTTTGTCTCAACATAGTCTTTTGTCATATTCATATTCACTATTGCTTTTTACCACTTGTAAGGTTGGGACTCGACCATGTATGATTCAAAAGAATGATAACATAAAAATTATATCGACACGTTCCTGAGCCCAAATGAATATTTAGCTCACCTGACTTAAAGTCAAGTAAGCTTATGTCATGGTCTGCTTGTCAACACCAGCCATATTGAAATACAACTATTAACAAGATAATATTGATCCAGAGGATCAACACGGCGCGAAGAATTTTGCAGCATTGATGCGTGTATCTATAATGTCATAACGAAAACAAACATATCATGATCATGAATCAAAATTACTAGAAGTACGAGAAAGCTGCTTTCTTATTGGCTAATGTCGACTTCCAGTTCGTCATTTCATTGGTCGGTCACAGTTCAGGAAAGGTCGTTCTGACGTGACCTATAATGGGATGTTCTCAGCGGTAGAGCGAGAACTTTGATCTGATTTTAATGATATAGAGGTCATCTAAACGTTGCCTAATCCTGTTATGTTTATTTAAAGGGCTTATTGCTTATTGTTAAGCAAGTTTCTCCGCAGCCTTTGTATTATACAACTACCCGCCGACTCGTCTCGCATCAAAACACAGGGCTGTGTTCTTGCGGGCAAATGACCACGGAGAACGCTGATCACTTTGTCGGATTAACGAGATTCATAAATGAGTGATTTCAGCGATTCGTTGCAAAAGCTATTAAGTTAACACATTTTTGTTCTACAGTGGTAAAGTTTTTTTTACTTTTTTGCATAATTAATCTTTTTAAAGTAATAGATTGTTGTAATATCATTTTATAAATGAACGAGATCAGTGACGACATGCATATATTGTTAAAAATTGAAATCCACAACGTTGTGACTGCGTATTTTTTGTATATTACCATGAACAAACCATACATTGTACATCTCTATGAGAGTTACCTCCCTAATGCTCAGCGCACTGTGTTTTTTCCTCCTGACACGTCAGTTAATCAGGCTGTCCCATAATGCTTTTACCTCATCACACGGAAACTGGGTTATTGGACATTGGCACAACGTGTGTAGTCAGTTGCAGGGCTCAATTTTCGATTTTCGCTATTTTATGGTCATTACTCGGCTATTATTGTTTAACATCTAATGGATTTTGGTACATTTGTGGTCTCAATATATATATATTCCGTGTTTTGCAACATTATAAATTTGACCCTGACTTGATCTTTGCACATCCACCTAACATGAAAGCTGAAACTTTATATGACTGTTCCTAAGTCATTATGTTCTAAATATAATTAATTTTAGTTCCATTTTTGAATATTGCCATTGTTTAGTTCGTTGTGTAATTTCTAAAAAAAATTACCAAAATGTTAGATGTTGACCTTGTTCTTTACCATGTTTACCTCACCCCTTTCGCTGGAAATGAGGAAACTGAACTTTGTCACATATAGTGACATCATACGTCGTTCAAATCAGTAGAGCTTGTATTTATGCAGACAGTATTTGAATATCAACATTTTTGCCAAGGGGTTGTTCTTGTGACCTTATAAGCTGTAGACTACATATCCAGGTGAGCTATAGTGCCCTGGCGCTAATTTATAATTCTACCTTATTTGTGATGAAACTCACCTTGAATCAAGGACTTGCTCATATTAAAAAAAAGGACGGTGATGAAGATGAAACGACGGAAATATCAAATATTTTATATATTTATTTCAAATTGAAAGAACAGTCAAAGTGTGACCTTAAATATACTAATATTATTTTCAGCACTAGATGACACGTGCAGCTCTACATCCGGTTGTTCAGTGGCCAACTCATTCTGCCGCAGCGGCAGCTGTGTCTGTGATGTCGGATACTCCTTTAAAAGAACAGAAAACCAATGCGACCGATGTAAGTTTGTTTGTTTGTTTGTTTGTTTGTATGTTGTATTTATTTTGTTTATTATACATATATTATTTTTTTTATTTATATATATATTTATTTATTTTTATTTGTTGGGGGTGGGGGTGGGGTGGGGGGGGTGGGGGGGTGGGGGGGGAGTAATTCCTCGGAAATGTTTTTTACGCTTTGAGGTGAAATGTGGTTTAACATCGCGTCCAAGATTATTGCACTTATTTAGCGGCATACATACACGTGTGTGTGTGTGGCTGCTTGTACTAGTCCGGACTGATGCCGATTTATATGCCATCCCACGGAGATCCCATGCCGCATTTTAACATGAATACCACATTCAGACACAGTATACTGACTCCGAGCCGACCAGTCCTTGTTTTAGCCACTTAATGCCGTGTGCCTGACAGGGTAACAACACCTTTTAACGTCTTTTTGTATGACGCGGCCGGGGATCGAACCCCGGACCTTCCGCTCTCCGGGCTGACGCTCTACAACTAGGCCACGGAGGCGGTCTTTACGCCTTGATATATCCATATGTTCTAGTGTAGTGGCATTAAGGCGTAAAACGGCATGTAAGCTAAAGATGACAGGAAGACCAAAGAGACGGAGGTGTTAAACAGATGACACGCCACGGGCATTCCGTTTGATGATTGGTTCATTCATATAATTTTCCCAGCTATTTTGCCCTTTACGCCAAATGGAATCTGTTTCGGCGGGTATTTAAGACTTGTTATTCTCTTGCATTGATGTTTTATATCTACGCTCTGTGACACGGCTCACTGCGTGTCATCGTTCCTCGACCACGTTGTACGTAGATCATATTATCAATCACTGGTTTGTCAAGTCAATACTACTTCACTCCTTTCAAGCCGTTCTCATATACTGGGTGCTGTGTTGACAATTAAGTAGCAATGAAGCAATTAAACTTTGATCGCCGACGCCACATTTTGCTTGGACATCCCAGGGATCTGTATATCTCCTTTATAGCCCTGGGCAGATTTGTCGTTATGTTGCTTCCGTCAAAGATGGTATTAAACATTCCTTTGGAATGTTCTTAAAATATTTGTCAATGATATTGCGGATCAAATTCACTTTCAAGGACATACATTAAAAAAGGTATTACGCTCGCGATAACTTGAGAAGTATTTACTGCAGGTCAATGACACATGGTACTGGTCATCCTCAGTGCGGTGCCCAGATATAAAAGGTCATTAGTGACAAAAGGTCATTAGTGACCAAAACGTGAGGTCAAAATTACAGTGAAGGGCATTCATCAATGATGTTTGCCTATTTGACGAAGATTTATGTAGTTAGAGGAAAGGGACTTTATTAAGGTAGGGAGAAGCATAGGTTTAATTTTTTCAAGGTACGGAATTTGACATTATTATATTTTAAAACCGGAAGTGATGTCATTAAAGTGGCAGTGCTTATAACTTTGTTATTAAAGTAATTAGAGGCACCGTTTGGCGGCATTCATTAAAATGCGGAGATGGGGCAGGTTCTGTTTTGTATGTGATGGACTTTACTAGACGGCACTAGACATAAAAAGTTGATCATGCCCATTGGTGTCCATTTGTTAACGAGTTTCGAATACAATTTTCAAGCTTTAAAAAAGCAGCCATACTGAAAAACAGATATAGCTAATACTTAGACCTGATTGTTCCAAATGCATTAATGTGGGGTCATAATATGTTCAGACAGCAGTGAGCCTGACCACATATGTTCGGGTTCTTTCTTTGTTTTTGTTTGGTTTTGGGTTGGTTTTTTTTTGGGGGGGGCGACATTTTTTATTGTTTGGCTTTCGTAAATGACCCGATATATATTTATCAAGTATTGTATCAATGACGTACAGTCTGCACAGTTTACGGGGATAGCTACGCTGGTCACGTTGACGTTGGCGTTGGCGGATGCAACCTCATCTCTGTTACGATGTCAACTGCTGAAGATTGCTGGAAGACATGTACCTCTCAGACGGGGATGCTGTGCAAGAACGTTGAGTACAACGGAGCATCTGGGTCCTGTATTTTGTGTGATAAAGCCTGGTTTGAACTCAGCTCAGGAAGTCGGCTGTATTCAGATCCAGGATGGTCGACCTACTTCAGAAACTGTGGCGACTGTAAGTTGGAAAATAGTGATGTTTCAGACTGTTGAAAATTGTCTGCAACAAAAAATAATTTGTTCCCTGGTGTATTTTAGAAACAAATATTTAGGCTCATATTTAGGCACATGTGCTTTTGCAACTGTAGCTGAAAATATATCTAGTTGGTGTCTGTGTACTCATTCACTCACTCATTCACTCGGGCGGGGACCTCCGAAGTAACTGGGAAGCGTTTTTTAACCTAAGGCTTGTCGCAAGAGCCGAGTAGAATGGGGATCGGGGGCCAGGCTCTGTAACCTGTCGTCGTAGCATGATGGCGTGGGTTTGCAGTCACAGGTTTCGTTGGTAACGATTCGATTTCTTACAGACCGCGATCACACAGAGCCGATGCTTTATTTATTCACTCACGACCCGTGAAGACCCGGGATAGAATACATGTAGGTCTTCAGCAACCCATGCTTGCCATAAAAGGCGACTATGCTTGTCGCAAGAGACGATTAACGGGATCGGGTGGTCAGGCTCACTGACTTGGTTGATGCATGTCATCGTATCCCAATTTCGAGGATCGATGTTCATGATGTCAATCACTGGATTGTCTGGTCTAGACTCAATTATTCACAGACCGCCGTTACATGTCTGGAATATTGCTGAGTACGGCGTTAAACAACAAACAAACACACAAACAACAGCACCAAACCCGTGCTCGTGGGTTTAACCAGCATGAAGACGTGCATCACGGGTTTTCCTTTCACATCAAGCTGATATAACTGGAATACTGTTCAAAACGGCATTAAAAGCAATTCACTCACTCATTCACTCATACAACAGTAATAGCTGAAAAATGTTCAAAAGTGGCCATCACCAAACTCGCTATCATTCCAGCAACCACAGTATTAGGGAAACTATGCAGCAGTAACACCGATTGCTCTGCGGCCAACGTCATCTGTAAAAGTGAAACCTGTGTGTGTGCCGTCGGATACTCCTTCAACGTCGCAACTAACGGATGTGTGCAGCGTGAGTATGTTTACAATATGACAAAGAGGTTCTTTCTGTAAATCTTTCAGAAACAAGCATGGTATCGCGTAAGCCTGGTCAAGCTTTGTTTTGTGCTACGCCACTCTCAGCAATATTCTTATCCCAAAACGAACAAGACCAATTTTTGACAACCTTAGTACCTGGTCGATTGTTCATGTTTTGATTTGTGTGTTGAAACATGATATGAACTGATCTAACCATGACGTATGAAGTATCTTAAGTTGATATGTGGAGGCTAATAGCAGGCAGGTAGGGGAGGGGATCGTACAGGGTTGGTTGGTTGGTTGGTTGGTTGTTTTACGCCGCACTCAGCAATATTCCAGCTATATGACGGCGGTCTGTAAATAACCGAGTCTGGACCAGGCAATCCAGTGATTGATAACATGAGCATCGATCCACGCAATTGGGATACGATGACATGCATCAACCAAGTCAGCGAGCCTGACCACCCGATCCCGTTAGTCGCCGACAAGCATAGTCGCCTTTTACGGCAAGCATGGGTTGCTGAAGACCTATTCTACCCCGGATCTTTACGGGTCAGGGTGACAGGGATGATATGGGGCAGATTGCAGGGTTCAGTTGTTGGTAATAAACATAAAACATGTATTCTCTGGGAGGTGACAGGTAGGTTGCATGTCGGTATAAAACAGCCAGCTCACAATAAGCATTGACGGTTTATTCATTGTTGTGCTGTAGAGAGGCGAGTGTGAACTAAATAGTGTAATGTGCAACTTGCCACATTTGAGGAATTTACGTTGCTTTTAAAATTAGCAACATGATCCCTTTCCATTTTCATTTGAAATCTCAGCCAAAAACAGAGTCGATTGTACAATTCCGACTATATCATGAGCATATGTCTTTGACTCACTGTGCAACTAATAATGATATCAGATGTTCGCGAAAAGGTATGGGTATCCTGCCTCGACGGTGGCACAGGTCAAAAACACATGCAGAGGCCAGTCAAATGTTCACCTGAAAAGACACATCAGAGACAGTCTATTAAACCAATATATAAAGCAAAACAAAAATATAACCGATCCTTGCTGATGTGTGTCGAACACATTTATCGTTGCATCAATAGCATTGAATTAAGGATGAAGAACACGTAAAATCATATATTCCCGGAGTAAAGAGAGAATTGATCTGAACAGATGTAAAATACAGACTGAGGACAAAAATGCAAACTCAATTGAATAGAGGGTAAATTGGGTTTAGGTAAAGTTGAGGTAAGATTTTATTACATACCGGTTACAAACGTCCTAAAGGCAGTTCGCATACAAGTTACGGGCATGCTACAGGTAGGTCACTAAGGCAGGCTATTGGCAGGCACAAGACGTGACAGGTTTCAAGCCGGTTACATACTTGCTATAGGCAGGCTAACAAGAGTATAATACGGTAGGGTAATTAACGAGCAAATACAAACAAACCTCGGTTTGGGGTAGAGTGGATAGTTGATATTTTAGGGAGTGGTATATGAGAGTGCCAACCCCCTCTCTCCTGAATCCAGAATCTTATTTGCTCCCGCCTGCTTCACGAATACTTCTCAACACAAATATCTCTTTGAAGTTAAATTGGTAAAAGAATAATTAAAATATATAACGGATTGTTTTATAAATGTTGAATATGTACCAAATACGATTTTATTTGCGTCCCGCGAACTGCACTGCTTGGTCCCGAATGTTCTCTAAATAGACTCGACCCGTGAAGATCAGGGATAGAATAGGTCTTCAGCAACCCGTGTATGAGGCGACTAACGGGATCGGGTGGTCAGACTCGCTGACTTGATTGATGCATGCCATCGTATCTCAATTGCGTGGATTGATTCTCATGATGTCAATCACTGGATTGTCTGTTCCAGACTCGAATATTTACAGACCGCCGTCATGAAGCTGGAATATGGCTCAGTGTGGCGTTAAACAACAAACAAACAAACAAATCACCAAAGAGATAAAGTGGTAAAGTGAAAGACCTGCGTCACTGTGGGTTTTGATTCCACACGACGTAACCTGAATACATCGGTTGCAGACCCAACTCACTCACTCCCTTTTGCAACCAAAGATGTGAATGTTAGGTGGCCTAGACTTTCAAAATGAGCGTAACAAGTATTTCACATCCTATTTCAGTGTGTTCTGCCTACAGTGACACCTATGTTGGTCACTCAGGCGTCAGAGTGGACAGTTGCAACATCGCCAGTACGACTACAACGACTGCTCAAGCATGCTGGGAGCGATGCACAGCTGAGACAGGAACACGTTGTAAGATTGCTCAGTACAGGGCAGGTGATGAAGATTGCATTCTGTGCGACAAAGGATGGTTTGAAATCCTCCCTGATGACAGGATGTATGACGAGGATGGATGGACCACCTATTTTAGGAACTGTGAATGAATATGTTGTGTCAAAGAAAAGATAAGATGTTTCAAACTCATTAAAATCCTATCTTTTTCCTCGGACACTATACGGCTCCACTGAAGATTTAAGGACATTCTTCCAACCAATATTCCAGGGTTATCAGCAGGAAGTCTATTTATTTATTTGTTGGTTTCTTGGTCAACGAGTCACTCAGTAATGTTACAGCTATATAATGGCGTCCTGTAATCGAGATTGGACCAGACAATCCAGTGATTGATACTCTGTGCAACGATCATCGCCATCGATGATGTCACGCAATCAACCAAGTCACCGAGACAGACCACCTCATCCATTGATATCTCCCAATACGAAATGCAAGATTGCTGCGGACCAATTCCGAGGTGTTCATTTTCGGTGACTAAGATATTACTATTGTCGAATTATATGTGATCGGTTTGAGTACAATTTGTACCTTATACAATTAGCCGACATTAGATCGTATGCCAGTTACTTTGTTTGTGATATAAATATTTTGGTTGACATATTTTTGTTGTATATACATTTTCCTCACGTAGAGTGGAAGGTCGGGCCGCGTTGTACCAAAAGACGTTAAAATACAGATGGTAACACAGTATACATCCAAGGGCACCATGCCCGGCTCAACAATTCAGATAAAACAAGACTAGAGACTTGCTACCCCACCACTCCCGATCTATCCACCAACTTATAGTTGCCTGAGTTTATACCTTGATCATAATGTATTCTTTCTTTCGTTAATAATGTGGTACGCCCAATTTGCCAATCGAAAAGAATTCTGTGATAGTTTTGCAAATTTGAAAACATTGGGGTGTATGGATGAGTAATTTGGCAAATACAGCCGTCTTAACTCCATATATTTTGGACGCATTATTTAAACGTGGTAATCGTCCTCTATATCAGTTTCACAAAATGAACATAGACGCTGCTCTGGCTGTAATTTGGTTTCAAGTCATCTCCCCTTTTCAGTCATGAAAATATGTGAACTGAGCCTAAAACGTGTAAGAGTGAGTGAGTGACTTTAGATTTAAAGTCACATCGGCAATATTTCAGCCATATAGTGACTAAATCAAGTTATACAGTAATAATACATTCACATAGATATTAAAATCTGTCGACAAAGGACAGTAAAAGCACTAGTCTATCACAGATATAGATTTAAAACTGCATGTTATCATAAAAATGTGACTACTCTGAACAATACATTATAAAAATGGGCTAGAGATCACCAGCAACCAAAGTTAGGACACCATACTAGGGACCATGGGGACTTACGGTACATCTGCTTCCTGCATGGTACCCCAGCAGGATTTAGACCATCCCTCTGGCAAAACGTGTTAGAGCTACTCGGAATTCTACAAGATCAAAACCGACAGACGGTTCGCATTCGGCAAGATCTGTGATACAGTCGTCACAGAAACAAAGCTTGACCTTATTTCCACGGCTCTAATAGTTTAGCACGTGCATTGCTCCGTTTCATCAAATCGTTGAAATCATTTGATAGAAGAAATGATGATAAATTTGACCTCCATTACTATCGCGGAATAGTTTTGTGAAAGTGCTATATTTAAAGTAGGAGAATGTCCGAAACTCGCTATTGGTTTCGCACGTGAAGCAGGTTGTCGGCCTAACGGCCCCCTACCCGCTTCACGTGCGAGACCAATGGCGAGTTTTCGGACATTCTCTTTCATATACAATCAACAGTACACATGCGCCTTTATTGGACTTTAGACCTTGAACCGCTAATCCGACCTCCTACAGACTTGTTTCTCTATCTAGTCCAGTCGTCTAAGGCGCCGCGATTCGGTGTGCAGAGTTGCGTCCCTTGGGCACGCCAGAAACCTATGATCGTGGGTTCGAATCCCGGTTCGCCCCATTTATGTTTCTAGGTTTGTCAGCACCATACCCGTGCTCGTGGGTTTTACCGAAGTCGTAAACGTCTTAGACCTGCATCGCTTAACTCCCACATTAAGCTGACACGCCGCGATATAACTGGAATAATGTTAAAAGTGGCATTAAACCCAACTCACTCACTCACTCACTCACTCACTCACTCAACCAATCTCTCTACATCATACGACTCAAATGTCTTGGATTTCGGAGGACACTCCTCAATATTTGAATACCTTAAAGCTGAAAGTTGACATTTCAAAGTACATGGAAAGAACAATTCATGCGTTACAGCTTCCCAAACAAACCGTAGTTAAGATTTTGAACTCTCATAAAAACACATGCTCCCCTGCACCTTCCTTCGGGGGCATCTCAAAACAGGATAGGAAATTAAAGTTAGATTCCTTTGATAAGAATGTTGTCAGGGACGTGATTCGGCGGTTAACACGAGGTTTTTGTTCAATTTACCAAGTATACTTTCCTGGCTATAATGATGGTTTGCTATCAAAATGGTTAACGATTTGACCAATAGTGATGATACACCATATGAAAATCACATATCCCTCTCCAACTTACACACAATACTACACAATGTATGTGCTTTCAACATAGTTCGAAAAAATACAAATATGTCAGGTGTTTGAATTCAGTTACTCCTGTTTACTTTAGGTCAGAGGGTTTAGCTTCTGCACGTTTTATATGGAGGACATTTCCCAATGCCGGATGCAATTCCCTATTTTGACTTGTACCATATGCTCCCGTGGTTTTTTCAGGTGCACAATGTATACTGTATAATTGAGACGTTGTGATCATCCACAATAAGGAATGCCTGTTTTACTTTTCTTTGATGTGATTTTCTGTACCGTTTTATTATCAACAGCTTCACAACATTAATAGCTTGCTTCACCTTGCTTTGTTCAACTTTGATGGGTTTTTTTAACTAACAGGCTCACAGTCACGACTGCGTACTACTTTGCTTTTCTAGGACATCTCCTTCCATATGTAACATATAATATATAATTAAAAGTGCTTGTAAAACTCTTGTATTGTAGTACATAGAGTTAAGGTGATTAACATCATTTTGAAAAAAAATAAAAAATAAAAAATAAAAACCTCCCAAACTTGAACTAACACAATAGATGGAACGTTGAAAGTTTTATTATATTCCAACTTTGAGGTAATTCATTCCGTCCTATATTTGGGCTTGTTTGCTTGTTGTGTTTTGTTTGTTTGTTAACCCAATCGTTCTCGTGCTGAACTGCATTCCTGCAAGGACACGCCATAGGTTGTATTATGCCGCACTCAGCAATATTCCAGCTATATGACGGCCGTCTGTAAATAATCGAGTCTGGACCTGACAATCCAGTGATTGACATCATGAGCATCGATCCACGCAATTGGCATATGCATCAAACCAAGCCAGCGAACCTGACCACCCGATCCAGTCGCCTCTTACGACAGGCAAAGGCGCCTCTTAAGGCAGGCATGGGTTGCCGAAGACCTATTCTCTACCCGGACTTTCACGGGTATCAAGTTTAAGAAACTTCCATAGACCGTATACTCTTAAGGCGGTGGCCCACTGGCCAATCTGGTTGATCTTCTCGATCCTCTAGAGAATAACATTCCTGCATACCAATTGTTAAGTTTGCTGTAATGCCACTTACACATGACATCGCCTTTGTTGACCCTCCCTAGCAGGCAGGGGCCAGGTTTGCTGAATCACAAATCATTTCATTTAGTGCAACTGCTGAGGTCTCAGGACAAACTTTACACTTATTAATACAAGATTATCAGCCGTCAGTCTCCAAGAAACGTATTTTAAACATATACATATGACCTAAAGCGGTATAACTGTCATCATTCATTTTCTCCTCCGGTAAATAAAGCCACATCATTCACAATTCTATTCATTTAAATACGTATCTCCAAGCTGTTGCTATCCACCTTACATTGCACAATGTATTCACTTTGTGCTCTCTGTATATCACACCTTCATCTGCTCTCCGACAGTATGATCTTCAGAATCTATATGATCAGCTCCCTAAACCCTGCATCATCTTGGGCGATTTAAATAGGCGTAGACCTCAATAGGGAGGTGCAAGTACCAACAATAATTGAATACTTTATTTCTGATAAGAATTTATGTGTATTTAATAACGATTCAAGCACATTAGTACATCCTGCCTCTGGAATTCTACCCTCGACCTGTCCCTCCCAGACTCGGATGTTTACAATGAATTTGAACAGTCTGTACATGACGAGATTTGTGGACGTGATCACTTCCTTACTATCCTAAAAGCTGGAGCATCAAATAATGTCCGAAATAGAAACATCAACCTGAACAAGTGTCAAAGGCACTCAAAGATCCTGTGCAACCCCATGAGAAGTATGGGTTGCTCGAGGACATGGATATGGAACTATCCCCTCACATAAGCCCTATTGGTCGTACAAAGTGGCCACTCTCCCTAAAGGAAATTCAGGGGGCGATACCTGGTTACTCCACCTTCATGCTTAACACAAATCATTTAATTTAATGGAACTGCAGAGGCCTCAGGACAAATTGTACACTTATTAATACAAGATTATCAGCCGTCAGTCTCCAAGAAACGTATCTTCAACACACACATTTGACCTGAGGTGGTATAACTGTCATTATTCATTTTCTCCTCCGGTAAATAAAGCGACATCATTCAAAGTTCTATTCATTTAAATACTTTTCTCTAAGCTTTTGCTATCCACCTTACATTGCACAATGTATTTACTTTGTGCTCTCTTTGTCTTCTCCAAGCTAGACTTGAATGCAGGATTCCATCAGTTGGAGTTGAGCCCAAAAGGCCGCTATCTGACCACATTTAGCACCAATGCAGGACTCCGACGATACAAACGCCTCTCTTTTGGGATAAATTCAGCTTCAGAGATATTCCAGAATGTCATTTCAGAAGTTATTCAAGAGATTCCCGGATGTAGAAACATCCAAGATGACATTATCGTTCACGGTGCTACTCAGAATAAGCATGTTCAAACTCTTCGTGCTGTATTCACAAGAATCCATGAACATGGCATCACCCTGAACAAGTCTAAATGCGAGTACTCAAAATCACAGATCAAATTCTTTGGACATATCCTAACAAGTAAAGGACATGCTCTAGATCCGGAGAAAGTCAAAATAACCTCCAACATCGGCAAGTGAAGTGAAATCTCTACTTGTCTCGATTCATTACGAAATACGCCCAAATCACGGAACCTCTCCAGAAGCTCACACATCAGAAAGCAGTTTGGAAATGGGATGAAAAGAAGCAGAAGGCTTTTTCCAAACTCATGTCCGCTCTTAGTAGCAGTGAAGTGATGTGTTACTTTGACCCTCAGAAGGAGGTAAAGCTGTTTGTAGCCCATCAGGCTAAGGTGCAATTCTCACTCAGGAAAATCAAGTTGTTAGCTATGCCAGCCGTGCATTATCTGATGCTGAATCCCGTTATTCCCAAACGGAACGAGAAATGTTGGCAGTCATATGGGCAGCTGAACACTATCACCTGACCACAAACTGCTTCTAGGAATCTTTAAAAGCCGACTTCAGCCATA